AAAAAACTAAACACTTGAACCATGCTTCTGATAAGTGATGAAAATATTAAGCAACTGTAATATTGTTTCATTCTATCTAAGAGGCAGCCTTAGAGATCAGTATACTTAAAAAATGGAAAAACATCTAAAGGCCAGGAACAGAATTTCAGCTAATGAGATTATACGGTAAACGGGATCATGGGTCCCTTCCCATGCTCCAACTCCTCCTCCCACCCTGTGGGAAATATAGTGAAGTCCATCTGTAAGCGGACTGTGAGACCTTGGGAACCTGGCCAACCACTCAGTCTAAGAAAGGCCAAAGAGAAATTGCTTCTAGATGTGAGCCTGGATTGTAAACAGCTATTGTTTTAATCTCACACAGCTTGCACAGAGGCCTGTCACCCTCCCCCTGCACGCCCTGTTTTTCTGTTTTCTGTACTCTATAAAACAGTGGTTCTCAACCTTCTTAATGCCGCGACCCTTTAATACAGTTCCTCATGTTGTGGTGACCCCCAATTTCATTGTTACAAACTGAACATAATTAAAGCATAGTGATTAATCACAAAAACAATATGTAATTATATATGTGTTTTCCGATGGTCTTAGGCGACCCCTGTGAAAGGGTCATTAGACCCCCAAAGGGGTCGCGACCCACGGGTTGAGAACCGCTGCTATAAAACCTTATGCTGGGAAAGTCTGGGAGGCGGCAAAACAATAGCACCAGCTGGTCGCCCCAGTGCAGCCTGTCCACAGGTTGGGTGGGACTTAGCAGGACAACTTCACTGGAGGCAGCCGGTACAGTGGTAAACTTCACCAATTGGCTGCCACTGGTGCACACATAAGTTCTAATAAACCCATGTCTTTCAGAGCCAGTCCTCCGGATTATTTCTTTGGAATCCATGAACAATACACTGAGGTTTTCTGGGAGCTCGGCACTTTGCATAACAAAGATCTTATGTTATTTGTGTCATGGGAACCAAACAACGGTTGAATGAGTTTCTGATCATTATGAAAATGCTTAGAAAAAGTAAGGCCTTCATAAGTGCCAGTTAAGGAATCTTGTCTCAAATATTCAAAAATATTTTCCTGTACTAAACCAAATCATCAGAGACCTGGGTGCCTGGACCACATATTTAGGTGTCTTTGTAGAAATATCCTTACTAGAATGAGTTGAGGTGTTGGTCATCAGCTAACATTTAGATCCATTACAAAATACATACCTTTGCTTTACTTACTGAAAAGACAGGGTTTCTTCTTTATGAGAATGCAAATAAGTTTCTTTTAAGTTTCACTGCCAGAAAAATCTTCTCCACCATGACTGGCCTTTTAGATGGTGGACACTGTAACTGACCACATTACCTTCTCTATGTAGCCTGTCAGGACTCTCAGAGCCGATTCATGGCCCAGGTGTACAGAGCATTTGGGGGTATTAACCTCATTTTAGGTACTAATTTCACCCAGAAATTTACTCATTTACTTTTTATAATGTACTGCATGTTTCTTCATAAATCCTTTTTGGAATATGGTAGGATAGAAAAAATAATCATTTGCGGGGGGGGGGGGGGGGGGGCTACTCGTACTTCCACCCATACTTGGCTAAAGTGCTTCCCTGAAATAGAAAATGGCACTATACCATGAACTAGTGACTTTCCAATAAATGTTAAATCACTTGTATCATTTGACAAGGCAAGATGTTCTAATTTCTGCCCCTATGATTTAAAACAAGGTAAGAATGGACAACTGTCTTCCAACTTCTTGCCAACTCAGGACAGGTTCAGGGTTAGTTATAAAAGTTAGAATTCTTGCCAAAACCGGTTTGGCTCAGTGGATAGAGCGTCGGCCTGCGGACTGAAAGGTCCCAGGTTCGATTCCGGTCAAGGGCATGTACCTGGGTTGCGGGCACATCCCCAGTAGGAGATGTGCAGGAGGCGGCTGATCGATGTTTCTCTCCCATCGATGTTTCTAACTCTCTATCTCTCTCCCTTCCTCTCTGTAAAAAATCAATAAAATATATTTAAAAAAAAAAAAAGTTAGAATTCTTTGTAACAAGACGCAGAAAACCAAACTCACCACCTTAGGTCTATCTTTTTGAGAATCCAGTGAAAGCTATATACCCAGAAAAATGCACATAACACAACTTGCATTCAATTCCTGGGTGGTCCATAGATATCCTCCATGTCCACTTATGAGTCTTAAGTTACAGCTCCTTTCTAGAAAATGGCTTAGACACCAGCCACTAGAGTTCAGAGCCTACATCCTGAGAGAAATCCTATGTATTACACAATTTTCATGTAAAGTTTCAAAGATCGGAGGATTAAGGAGAGTTCCTGCTCACATTAGTAATAAAATATTCATACTTGTGAATACTGCCTCATATAGTCCTGCTTTGCATATAGTCACTCCACATGATCACTCTGTATATAAAGAAGTAAAGCCCTGCCTCATCCAACCTCCTTATCGTTTTATTTTTCCTCAGAGGACCTCCTTCCACCTAACATTAAGTTTTTCTTGTTTGCCTCCCTTGACTAGAAGTTCCATAAGGGCAGGGACTTAGTTTTTCTCATGGCTACATCTGTGATGCATAAGAGACACTCAGATATGTTATGTAAATCTTCCATAGGATTCTCTATAACAGGTTTTAGTAAATAAAGTTTTACTGGAACTCAGTCATGCTCGCTCACTTTCATATCATCTATGCCTGCTTTCATACTATAGTGGCTGAGATGAGGGGTTGCAACAGGATCCACATAGTCTGCAAAGCCTCAAACATTTGCTATCTGTTCCTTTTCAGAAAGTTTGCTGACCACCAGTAGCATTCATTTGGCCCTCATTTCTCAAGATAACTCCTTTGTACTTAGAACAGAGTAGATGCTTAAAAATAGCTTATCACTACACATACAGATTTGCTACTTCCAACATAAATGATTTTTGTAGTTAAAATTAAAGTTAGTATTTTCCATCCTCAATGCATTTCTACCAAGGCCACAAGCAAACATTACCCATGTTTAATAATTTGGGTAATAGGGAGAAGAGATAAAATGCTCAATAGCAAAATTTCTTTCAAACTTAGTTGTGTAATCTTTAAAATGTGAATGCAACGTAACAACTGGCAAGCTCTTCCCTGATATATTTCAGACAAAAATGATTTTGAGGTAAACCATTGTTATTTTGTCAATGTCAAAATAATTCTAAGACATATATCTTTTATGCCAGGGACATTATGGGTGTTAAAGTCATTGAATGGATATCTCTCCCATAATTATTGTGGTCATCAAATTTTGCAAATTACAATTACCTGAAAGGGAGCATCAAGATTTACTAGTATATCCCTTTGCCAATTTTAGGATATATTCAACACTGTCAATCCTTTTTAAAATTACAGCCTTTGTTGTCATCCTAAAAAACAAATTTAACTTGCATGGGCATCACTGGTTCCAGGGAACTGAAGAGTAAATGGTAATTCTTGGCATAATTTCAGCCACTGTTTATGCCAGGAGCAGAGGTGAGCAAATAGAATTTTTTCTTATCACTGAATGATATTTCATTTGAAAACATTATAGTCCAGGAGCTAAGACAGGAGGGAGAAGAGAAAAGGCTAGGAAACTTACTGAATTATGTCTAAGTTATTTTGAATAAGCAACAATACACACAATGATACACAATCATTTGAGAAAACTATTGTTTATTTAGAAAAAAGGTTACACTGGTAGAATTTGGTAGATTAAAACTTTTTCTTTTAAAAATGTCACTGAAACTTTTCCAGGTGAAAGTTCAGCAATACAAAGCTCCTCTAGCCGTAGAATTAGAACACAAGTAACTTTTGATACCCACTCCCCACCACAGATTTGTCTAATATAATTATAAGAAAAAATGGCAAGGGACAAGTGAGTGCTGGTAACTTTTTCTTTTTTTAAACAAGTTTTAATGTTGTACATGTACTATATAAAGTGATCCCTAATTATTGCATTAGACACTGACTGCTCCCACTTTGTTTTTAGTGACTAATATTAAAAACAGCCCAAATAATAAATTAAAATTAGTTTTAAAATGAGGTAAATTCAAAATGGTTCAATAATTGTTTATTTTCAGCTTCAAACAATAAAAAGGAAACATTTCAGATTTTTTTAAAAAAAAACTAAACCTGAAGTGAAATTCTGTACACATGAAACCTCATTTGCTTCTTGGGAACTATATGCAGCACATTGTGCTAAAAATATGGAATAGTTAACACTTTCAGCCATTTACTGAAAATAAATATGTAGAAACTAAGCAACAAGTTAAATACAGTAATGTACAACTCAACAATTTAAAGTTTCCTGCATGGAGCAATAAAACAGATAAATGAATAATTTAAGAAGATGCAACTGGGCCCTCTTCATTTGTGATTCTTGGCAATGTACTCAGGAAACTAAATTTCTGGTCACAGCTGAACCATTCCATTCCAATCTCATCTGAAAGAAACAAAGTGATTATATTGATAGATAAAAGAAGGAAGAAAAGAAGGAATGGGAGGAGGGAAGGATGACAGAAGGGAGAGGAGGAGGAGGGGAGGGGGGAGGGGGGGAAGGAGGGAGGAGGGAGATAGGAAGGATGATAGGCAGGAAGAAGATGGAAGAAGAGGAGGAGGAAGGAAGAAAGAAAGCAGAGAGGGAGGGCGGGAGGGATGAAGGGAGGAAGGAAGGAAGGTTGGTTTAACAAAGAAGAAAAATCAGTGAGTTCTATCAACAACATAGGCTTGAGTTAAGTCCCTAGATAAGGATGAAATATCTTTGTTTCTTAGTGCCCACTCTCAGAAACCATTCAAGACAGGCAGACTATGATGACTTCAAAATAAAAAAACATTGAACATTTTATCTGTGAAAGCCCTCAAGTGGGGGAGGGGGGGAGGAAAAAATGAAATAGAAACACGTAAAACATTCTTCAGCAACAAGCAATAGCTTGTCAAAAGTAAACAGAACGCATAGCAACAAAAAGAAACCAATTTTACATGATCAACAAAAAAAGAAAAAAATGACATCACATTTTTCACAAGGGCATGATTTTAATAGTGACTTATATTAAGATGCAATGTCTGCTAAATTATAAAAATTGCTTTAAAAATATATTGACTTAATTATACTTATTTCCTTTCCTTTATGTATTGACATTTTTCAAATACTGCATAATGAAATAAATTCAGAACATAATCATTACAACATGTGGCAAATAACTTATCTGCCTAACATTTTTCTCATTTATTTTTAAACTAATGCTTAACGCATTAAACTTTATTGATGAAAATACTACATTCACATATTTCATAAAACCAGAGCTAGGAGAGCTTTAAAAAATAATCACACTTCCATGAAATGCTGACAAATAATTTACATATCATTTCTATACAGCATTCTGTTCACATCAGGTATAATCTTAATATCATAATTATAATTGTGGATACACTAATGTTGAACTTACAATTTAATACTTAAAAATCATTGTTCCTGTCCATAACTGATGGATGGATAAACAAAATATGGTACACATTCATACAATGGAATATTATTCAGTTAATTAAAAAAATGAAGTTCTGATACATGCTATATATATCATGGATGAACATTGAATTCATAACTTTATGTGAAAGAAGCCAGACACAAAAGGTCACATGTTGCATAAGTACATTTTTATAAAATGTCCAAAACAGGCAACTTTATAGAGATAGAAAGTATAACATTTCCAGGAGCTGGGGGAAGGGAGAATTGGGAGCAACTGCTAACAGGTGGGGGGTGATAGAAATGTTCTGGAATTAGTGGTGATGGTTATACAGCATACTGAATAGTAAAAACCATTTTAAAATGGCAAGTTTTATGCTTTGTGCATTTCATTTCATTTTCTTAATAGCAAAAAAGTCAATGTTCCAATTAAGAGTATCATGACGGCCATAACTAGAAAAAGAAATAGGTTCTTAGTCATGAAGATGTCAGTCACAACAGGAGTATTACTGAGCAAGGGAAAATTTGGTGATATATTTAAGGGTTAAAAGATAAAACTGCTATTGCTGTAAAAATGTAATGATGATCTTTCCCACTTGTAAAGATGAAATTAAAAATTTTTACAAGAGGCCAAAATCCTCAAGCAATACAATCATCCCAATATTTTCAAATAGGAGTTCACACACAAATGCAGTCTATCTACATCATTAAGGAACTGGTTCCAGGAGGCGATTTCCTCTCCTTTCTGAAAAGAAGGATGAACTAATAGAACAGTGAAATTTTCATTAGATGCTGCTTCTGGATGGTGAATTTCGAGTAAAAATTGTATACACAGGGACCTTGCTGCAAGGAACTGTCTGGAGGTGAAAATAATGTTCTGAAAATCAGTGACTTTGGAATGTCTCATCAAGAGGATGGTGGTGTGTATTCATCTTCTGACTTAAAGCAGATTCCCATTAAATGGACAGCACCAGAAGCTCTTAATTATGGGTGATATCGTTCTGAGAGTGACGCATGTAGCTTTGGCATCCTCCTCTGGGAGACCTTCAGCTTAGGGATCTGTCCATACCCTGGAATGACAAATCAGCAAGCACAAAAGCAAGTGGAAAGAAGATACTGGGTGTCAGTCTCTCAGCAGTGTCCAGAGTGTATTTATAAAATAATGCTGAAGTGTTGGGATTACAAACTTGAAAATCAACCCAAGTTTAGTGAATTTCAGAAAGAAAACTGCCATCAAGAAGAAAGTCGCATAGTGATGAAACAGTGCCAAACTCAGCCTTCCAGCAAAATAATATTTTCTTCTCACTAACCATGAGTTTATACCACATTACCTGGAACATTCTCTAAGGTTTTTTAATTAACTATTTATTTTAAATATGGGCCACTTTTAACCACTGTAAATAAGTAACCCCAGGCTCTAACTGCAATGGATTGCATGGATCTATCTTTTTTACACCTAGAACTGCTGCTGTTTCTCAAAGGGTTTCTACTTCAAACTCAGTTCAGAGTTGGCTGCCCTCCATCATAGACACCTTTACTTTATTAGTGCCATAAACTGCATTGGTAACACCATGTCTGCAGAACACAGTCTAACAAAAAGTGGCCCATCATTCTGCTAAGACAAGATTACCTTTGTAAACATCACCTTCTATTAAGAATTATCTGAACATCCTGATTTTTTTTTCTTTTTAGTTGCCAGAAATGGGCCCTGCTGAATTAGTAACATTGCCATTTACCTATGTTCTATCACGTCCTCCTCCTTTGTTAGGGCATCAGAAAATTGCATGAAATGACCCCAAAGAGCACCCCCTAAGGGTTGAGGCAGCTGATTTTAAGTGATGTTATTTTACAGAGACCAATGACAGCAAGAAACAAGTTTGAAAAGTAGGGTGGTCTGGAGAAAAGAGCAGCTAAACTGATGATCAAAGTAGAGAAGAAAGACAAGTAAAAATTCAGCCTTCTTATTGGAGGTGTGCTTTTATAGACACACACTATCTAATTTTATGATCTAAGTCACCAAGAAGGTCCTAAGAAAAGTCTCAATTGTTCATAGATTCCTCATAAAAGAGCCTTCTTGGTGGCAAAATTTGCTTTAGGGAAAATATATGTCCACCAAATCAACAGATTGTTTTTGGTTAAGTATCTTCACCTCAAAGAAGGCATCCCAGAATTTAGTTCCCTTTATTTTCACTAATGACTGAAGCTGTCAGGATTTCATGATACTAGCTCTCAAGTTCTTTCTCTTTCTCTCCCTCTCCTTCACCCCTCTTTCTCTTTCTCCCTCCCTCCAAGTAAAAAGGCATATATGGATGAAGTTGACAGCTAAAAAGTCAAATGAACACTTAAAAGGAAGAAAGAAGTTAGAGGGACAGCCATCCACTATACTCCTTTCATTTACCCCTATAGTGCTACCTAGGATGTTTCATGTGGGTAAAATGTAACTCAGAGTTAAAACTGGGAATTTGTTGACATGAATCTTAGCATACCCAGGGGTAACTCTCAGGATAAATGCATGTATTGGGGATAGTCACGCTCGGGGTAAATGTGGTATGAGAGCCTTTTGTAAGTGTTCATGTCTATGTCCAGATAAAAACAGCACAGCACCTTAGTGAATATTTGATCTACCTTAAGTGGAAGAAAGAAATGGAAAATTCCTCCTGTGTTCTCCAGCTTTTCAGTGGCTATGAATATCAGTGCAAAGAACTTACACCAAGTACTTTTAAAAGTATAAAGAATGCCCTAGCTGGCTTAGCTCAATGGATAGAGCATCGGCCTGTGGACTGAAGGGTCCCAGGTTCGATTCCAGTCAAGGGCACATGCCCGGGTTGCAGGCTCGATCCCCAGTAGGAGGTGTGTAGGAGGCAACCAATCAATGATTCTCTCTCATCATTGATGTTTCTATCTCTCTTTCCCTCTCCCTTCCTCTCTGAAATATATATATATTATAAAGAATGATAATGAAGATAAAAATAGTTTGTGTATATCATTTCAATCTCCTAACAAAACTTTTGTACACATCCAATGATTCTACATACAGACCCAAATGAAAGCATAATAAACCTGCCCTCAAAAAATATTTTGCAGCATACAAAGCAACTTCTTTTTAAATAGTATATTATCAAATGCTGTAAATAAACGGAACCTTTTTTTGAGAGAGAGAAAAAAAAAGTCAATGCTGTTTCACATCAATCCCAAAGAGATACACTTAACACTTCTGTACATAGCTCTCCATATGAAGTTAACAGAGTTGCTGAAACCTAGCAAGTAATAAAGAAAAATACTTGGTTGTTTGATTATAAGGAAGGAATGAAATTACTGCCTTTAACAAGATCACAATCTAAGTACAGGGACATGTAACATACTCATATATAAATAAGAATCAGTGACTAGGACTCTGTAAGAAAGCCCACAAACACACATAAGCAATGGGAAACTACTGAGAAAGAACTTAATTAGACGCTCTCTACTCTAACACATTACCAGCATCTAGGACTATGCCTTGACATGGCAACACAGTCAACACAGTCCTAAAATAAGCAATCTTTGAGCACTTCAGTCGAAATAAGGCTCATAACAGTAATTATAAAATCAACTGTTTATAGGGGTTAGTATATAATGGAAACAAATGAACTGAGCTGGGTGGGGACTGATTGAAATAAAATAAAAATTTAAAAAGACCCACTCTCTGTATAAGGAAGAGGGGGGCACAGCACCTTGGCAGGTCTAGCTGATTGCTGCCATACAAAAATCAGAACACAATATTGCCAGATGTCCCAATTTTTCAAGAGAAACTGAAATTCTGATTTGTCAACTCTTCTGATTTTTAAAGATGATCACTTTTTAAAAATGTTAAATATTGTGTGACTCCAGGAGATACATCTAATGAGCCACGTTTTGCCCAAGGCCTAAGAATTTACCCTGGGTTTAAAGCATAAAAGAATTGATTAGGTTACACATATGAGACCGGAGCTGAGACGGACCTGCAAAATATATTAGGCCTTATTGGAGTGGAGGATTAGAATAGGAATGTAGTATATTACAAATACAGATGGAGAGGATAGAGCTAACTGCTAATATTCTTTGAAATCAAGTATAAAGTCCAAGATTGAGCCTCTCAAAACCTGGGAGAAAGTCTCAGTTTAGTATAGCATAGCATCTGGTTCTAAAAGGACTCTCAATGATCTAACTTAACTGAGCTCCACATTCATGAATTGAGGACCACATGTATCAAATTCAAATTGAGAAGCTAAAAGATGGTTCTAAAAAGAAAAATTTAATTGGCATGAATTTTTAAAGATTAAACTAAAGGAAAGGTTAAAGGCAAAGCAGCTAGTAGTGTTCAAGGAACTAAATCAAGGAGAGATAAGGAATTTGGACAAAGACTTTAGCAATAACAAGTGAGAAAAGATAGAAAACAAGCAGGAAGAATGGTGCAAGTAAAACTGTGAGAGAAAAAGAAGACAAAAGACTTTGCAAGGAATTAAATCTGGGTCACATTTATATATTGTATTTCTTAACTCTAATGCAATTGTTTTAATGTTTCTGAAATCAGGATGATACTTATAATAAATGTCCTTTCTCTATTCACTCTTCTCAAAAAACAGGTATAGAAACCAACGATTCTTAAAATTAATGACATCTTTGAATCACAGAAATGTGAGACATGCAGCAGCTCTCCTTTCTGTAGAATGTAAAATAAAATTAAAAACAGCAGGAAGCAGCAGATTTGAGGTAGCCTAACGGTAAATGGTGCTAATCCGAAATGATGAGACCTCTAAAGGTAAAGGAAGAACAACAGAAAGACCTAACCAACCCTAGAATGTATCCAATAGGAGGCAGCTGGCAAAAGGAAATATCAACCTCACAAAATTAAGAGACTACCCAAGAAGAAAGTACAGTAAATAATTGTCAGCAAGAAATTGAACAGAATGACCATCATGCTAAATGAACCTTAAAAGGGTATCTGAATTAAGAAGCTCTGCTACAAGACCACCAACCTAACTCCCCAGGCCAGTCTTTTCCTGCCTTTGGTCCTGAGAGATTATATAGAGAGGTAAAGTACAAATTATCCATGGCCTATGTGAAGAACTCAAAGGAATCTTTAGCATAACTTTCACATACCAAAAAATAATATTTAGGTACTGAGTAAAGAGAGATGGATAAAATCACAGTGAAAATTGTTAGTTATGGTTAGCCCATTCCTAACAAAGATATAAGAGGTAGGGTTTTTGGTTTTCTTTAATAAGGAGACTGTGTGAAAGGAGAAGTAAAAAGCAAAATGCCAAACTAAAAGAAAGGCTAAGCCCGGCTGGTGTTGCTCAGTGACTGAGCATCAACCTATGAAACAGAGGTCATGGTTCGATTCCCAGTCAGGGCACATGCCTGGGTCTTGAGCTGGATCCCCAGTAGGGGGCCTGCAGGAGGCAGCTGATCGATGGTTCTCTGTCATCATTGATGTTTCTATTTCTTTCTCCCTCTCCCTTTACTTTCCTCTCTCTGCAATCAATAAAAACGTATGAAAATTAAATAAAAGGTTAAGGTGAAGAATAAAAAAAGATTAAGAGTTTATAGTTCACTAGAGAAGATAGATAGTTGTTGAGGTGGAGATGACTAAAACTGAAGAATGGGCAATAATATTACTTTTACAATATTTCTAATTATAAAAAATTACTAAATTCTAAATGCTCTCTCATAACTCTCATTTTACCCCACTCTACTACTTAGATAACAAGCACAGATAACGAAGCAGAAAAAAACACACTATTAGTCAGGAGGTTACCTATCTGGAACTGCAAAACCCTGCTTTGCAGACAAAATAACAATAAAAAAATCTATACCCTATAGCTTATACCCTAATACAGAACAGGCTCTTAGACATTTCTCACTCTCAAAAACAACTGTAAAGAGTCTTGGTTTTCTGTATGGTTTTATAAAAAAAAAAAAATGGAAGCAGCAAATAATATTTGGGGGAGGGTACAGACAGCAAGCATACTTGATATCTTTAAGAAGTGACAGCTAATATGGAATCAGGAAAATGGACTATAAAAAGAGTAAAAAAACTTCAAATACAGTCACACTGAACCATTAAATGTAGAGGGTAAATCATCCTACATACCTCAATAATCCTAAGGCATCACCAAACAATAACTATTTAGATGATGACCTGAGTGCTCAAAAAAAGTCTATATTAGGTTCTGAACACTCTGACCACAAAGACAGTGGACTATTGTCCACATACAATTTACTAAAGATGGTTAAAACACTTTTTAAATCTCACATAAAGCATGAATACCTTGAAAACAAAGCTGCAGATTTTAAATTCTAGAACTAAGAGCACAGACCAGATTTTTCAGCTTTGCAAAACCTGGGCACCGGTAGAAAAAGAGGCACAAAAACTTAAAATAAAAATCTCCAAATAACATGTCTGCATGAACAGGCAAAAAGAACAGAGAACACGAAAGGGCAAGAAGACCTATGTTTAAGTATTGGCTCTGCTAGCTAGAGTCTCTGTCACCCTCCTCAACTTAAACTTTCAGATTCTCAGTTTTTTCACCTGTAAAATGCAGATGCCAAAACCACCTACAAGGCTATGACACTTAAAAAAAGTAATTAATTATCCAGAGAAGATGGGAATGAATGGTGAAAAGAAAGCCAGATGTTCTTAAGTACATCTTGGTGTTAAAAAAAAATAGCTAATCAGCAAGCTTAAAATGAAAACAGCTTAAAAATAACTGTGAATTTTGTTTTGCATCTATACCCAAAGACCTAGTCATTATATTTAGGTGAAAAATGCTACTTGTACTTTGCAAAATGGATCTAGTTTCTTCATCATCATCATCATCAGACCTCATTTCATAAAATTTCTCTTTAAACGAAAAGGAGGTGAGAGAACACTCACCTTGATGGAAAGTCTTCATTATCTGTGTTTGTCCGAGGACTTATGAGTAGATGACAAATTAAGGGGAAAACTAGGGAAAAAAGAATGGTGTCTCATCTTTTAGTACAATCCCTTAGCTTGCAGGCCTATTTGGCTCTAACTAGCTGGTAGCCTCAAACTCTACCAGCTCTGCTTGTCTGCTGCATCATCTTGCCCTTCAATTCCCCATGCTCCCAGCCCAAAGGACTCTGTTCTTTTTCTTCCTCTCAATGATAATACAGACAGAAGGACTCCAAAATCCCTTGGTGGCATAAGACAACCTCAGTCAACAAAGAAGTTTAAAAAACATATCAATTCTCCCACTTCCACATTTCTTATATTTGAGAGGATTAACTGGAGAGACCATTTAAAAGCTAAGAGGCTCTTAAGCATTTAGAGCACATACTACAAGTGTACAATTCTAAACATGAACAGTATCAAAGCTTTCCATTTCACTGATTAAAAGCATCAATAAGATGAAAAGGATATTGTTTCTTCTCTTCCTTTCCTCCTGAACTGTCCCGTTTCTCTTTCTTTTCTATCTTTTCTTTATCATGCCTGGACTCCTATAAGGAATGGTGGAATTAGTTGGGGAAGGGAAAACCAAATTAAAAAATCAGCTCAAAATCTCTTTTCAATCACCCACCAGTCATAAATTTTTCTTCAAAAACTTATTTAATAGGACACCAAAAGCACAAGCAACAACAAAGAATTGGATTTCATCAAATAAACACTTTCATGCATCAAGTTACACTATCAAGAAAGTGAAAAGACAATCTACCAAATGGGAGAAAGTATTTGCAAATCATAGATCTCATAAGAGTCTAAGTATCAGACTATATACAGAATTCTTACAACTGAGCAACAAAAAGACAAATAATCCAATTAAAAATGGCCAAAGCATCTGAATAAATTTCTCCAAAGAGGATATACAAATGGCCAAAAAGCACATGAAAAGATACTCAACATCATTAGTCATTAAGGAAATGCAAAATCAAAACCACAATGAGATGCCACTTCACACCCACTAGGATGGCTATGTAATAAAAAATAAAATTTAAATTAAAAAAATATTGAAAAGAATGTAGAGAAATTGGCACCCTCATGCATTGCTGGTAGAAATATAAATTGTGCTGCCACTGTGGAAAACAGTTTGGTGGTTCCTCAAAAAGTTAAACATAGCATTACCATATAACCCAGAAATTCCACTCCTGGGTATATACACACAAGATTTTAAAACAGGTATTCAAACATATACTAATAGCAGCACTATTCACAATAGCCAAAAGGTGGAAAACACAAAAGTCCAACAAATGGTCAACAAATGTGGTATATTCATACAATGAAATATTATTTAGCCATATAAAGAAATGAAGTACTACTGATTCATGCTACACTATGGGAGAATCTCAAAAACATTATGCTAAATGAAAGAAGTCAGACACAAAAGGCCACTTTATTACATGATTCCATTTATATGAAATATCCAAAACTGGTAAATCCACAGAGACAGAAAGCAGATTAGTTTTTTTCACGCGATAAAGGGAGGGGAAAATGGGGAATGGAGCTTAATGGGTATGGAGTCTCCCTTTGAGGTGATGAAAATGTTTTGGAACTAGACAGAGATGGTGATTGCACAACATTGTAAAGATACTAAATGCTTGTATACTTTAAAATGACTAATTTTGTTATGTAAATTTTAACTCAATTTAAAAAATATTTAAAAGGAGCAACCTCCCCTCTAAAGCATATAGAAATCTTTAAACTATCACCTTATAATTTTCTAAAACTGCTTTTAATAACTATAAATTTAACAAGTATAAATATATAAAATATACATATTTTGAATATACAACAAAATAATGCTTTACACTTTAGTGATGACTTGCTTACTTAATGGCTGATGCATGAGATGTATTTTGAATATCATCCGTTAGTAAGTATCTAAGAGAATGCACACTACACTTAATGTGAGAATCAAATACAAGTTGCAAACACATAAGGTTATTAGGAGAAAATGTTATAAAAATGTTTAGAATCACAAACATTTTTTACTTTATGACACTAATGATCAGGGAGAATACATGTAACCATATTTTAATCTCATGAATACAGAGAAATTAAAAAGCATTGTTAGTGGAGGAAAAAGAAAACACAAAAAGAAGGGCTGAAACTCAAGGAACAGAAATAAGTGGGAGTGGAATGGAGAGGAAAGGAATTTCAGAGGTAAACTAATTCTACCCTCCCAGTAATTTGGGACTGAGTTGGTTTGAATTCCCCCAGATAACCTGCCCTCTCTTACTGTCTCATCTTTCCATCCCAAATAATTAACGAAAGACTATTTGACTATAAAAGAACCTCAATATTTGCTGCATTTTCAAAGGGTTAATTTTCTAAGTAAAGTACATTGTTCCTTTGTTGTCCCAATTTACCTTTTTGCCACTGGAGGAGATTTTATCCATTTTTTCTGATTTAAATGAATCACCGCCTTTTTCTTTGCCTGAAGATTTGGACTTATTTTTTTCCTTGTCTTTCTCATTTGGATAAGGAGACTCACATGGGCTTTCACTTTTGTGTTTTGAAACCGCCACTAAAATTATAAAAGAGAATCATGAAAGCCATTTCCAATTCAGTTTGACAATTGTTTTAAAAATATTGGTAAGTCTACCTACTTGTTCCATTTTCCTCTTTTCGCCTCTTGGTTAAGTCCGGTAGCACTTCACGGTCATTGTTTGAGTGATCCTAGAACCAAGAATTGTGAACTACATTGATCAAGAGTTTTTTGTTTTGTTTTGTTTTTAAAGTATTACTTTTATGCAAGAAGCGCACAGCATTGTAGAATATTTGTGATAGTTTCACATACTTGGTAAAATGACATGAAAGACAAGCAGAGCTGGGAGAGATTATTAGGCTGAAGATCCTTATTACTGTAGAAGATTCAAACACTCTTTAGGATGAAAATACCAATTAAAACACTAAATAACAGATTGCCATGCAACAAACTAGTACTTTAAAAATAGGCAACAAACATACTATTGTACACAATAACGAGCTTTCCAAACTAGTTTTAAAAAATTACAAACCCTTTTCCGTTCCTTCCTGTCCTTTTCATCTTTTTTCTCTCTTTCTCTGGATCTTTCCCTTGACTTGTCCAAATCTTTCTTGTCCATTTCTCTCTCCTTACTCTTGGACAGTGGTGAAGGAGTATGATTAAGGTAGAGCTGTTAAATTAAGGCAACATTACTAAAGATTATTAGTTTTCCAGTATTGGTATCATTTGCTTGATTGTTTATTTAATGAAAGACAATTGGTAGTGAGACCCCAAGTCAAAACTGGTGAGCTGTCTGGATTACAAGAGGTAAAATAAAAGAGCATGGCACAAATTATGCAAAGACTTCAATTCTTGGGCTTATAAAATTACCAGTTCATTCCTGCCTCAACTGAGATTCATTAGTAAATTCACAAGCTACAGTTCCTTTTACAGCTCTATTGAGAAGACCTATAACCACCATTACAATAGTCCGTATGTGAAAAATAGTGACTAGACTTGCTCTACTGTAAAAAAAAATTACAAACCTCTACAAAATCATGGAAATTTTAAATAGTTTTACCATCTACTGATAGGTAATCAATGACAATGAGCAAAAGTATAAAATAAAGCCTAGACATAACTAATAAGTCTTTTCTACCTCAGAGTATATCATGCATAGATTATCCTAAATTACTTTTACAAATGTAAAGGCTACATAGTCTCCACTTCTGAAAGCACTCAAATTTATATCTAATTATCACAACTAACTGTGAATTTTGCCTTACTAGTTCTAAATAATTCAGTAAACTATATTAGTCAGCTGCGGATGATGAAACACCTCAAAGACTGAAAAATGATAAATCAATGTTCTCCTCTGCTTATTCTTTCTCTGCCAAACGGCCCATAGGCAAACAGCTAAAAATCAAGGATTGCTAAGTCTAGTAATTAAGAGATAACTTTACTTATGAAAGTTGTAAATATGGAAATCTACTATAAAATAAATCATTCAGGAAGCAATCAAATACCTAACCTTACAGCATTTATAACTGTGCTACAAGCTTATGTTTAAGACATTAAAAGTATTAGGCAGCAGAATACTGAATATAACTTGTTACATAACTACACAATTCTAGATATACCTTAGCAATGAAAAGAACAGTGAATCAGAAGTCAAATATTGTTACACAATGAAATCCTTTGATATTCAAAGGAATACATGAAAAAGACAAACATCACTTTGAGAATTAAAGAAACACATTTTTTTAACACCACCAAATATTTTCAATTCAGCTGGCTCAGAAATAGTGCTATAGCAATACAGAAGTAGATTCTTTAAAATTTCAATGTTTAAAAGTTGGTGATCAACTGAAATAAACAAAATGTTCATTATTAACAAAGAGCAAGAGAATGAAAAAACAGTCATAAAAGTGTTTGTGCAAAATGTACTCTTGCTGGGTATAATGCACTAAATGACACTTCATGATTTTCTGTATGCGAGTTGTATTCCTGTCTTAATATTACTCATGAAACTGACAAGACAATGGAAATAATATATTACTGCAATACTTGAAAAAGATTTCTCTAAAGGAAGTATTGCTTAATTCTCCCAATAGAAACAAAAAAAATAGTTTTGGTACAAATAAGCACCCATGTGCACACACATACACACGCACACACACATACACAAGAATGAAGTTTTTAATTGTGCCTAACTTGAATTCTGTATTGCTAGAAATTGAGAAACCTAAAAAATTTTAGTTTAGAAATGTATTCAACTATATTCCTTCTTTCTACCCTCTTAAGAAGAGTTCTGATCACAATACTCTTTTCCACAAAAACAAAGTCTCTCATTACCTATGGGATAAAATGCATACTCTTCAGCTTAGGTATTCCAAACTCTTCGCAATCTTTGCACAATTATATTCTACTAGGGAGCACCCAATACATTCTATGCTGTGGCTACTACTGTTCCCTAACACCCTGCCCTTCCCAGTTCTCTTCACCAAAATGGTTGTTCACTTTTACCTTAATCCAGTGGTTCTCAACCTTCTGACCCTTTAAATACAGTTCCTCATGTTGTGACCCAACCATAAAATTATTTTCGTTGCTACTTCATAACTGTAATGTTGCTGTTATGAATCATAATGTAAATATCTGATATGCAGGATGGTCTTAGGCGACCCCTGTGAAAGGGTCGTTCAACCTCTATGAAAGGGGTCGTGACCCACAGGTTGAGAACCGCTGCCTTAATCTCTTAAAAATCCTACTTAGCCTTCAAATTCAGCTCAGAAGTCATCATCAGTTTGACTGTCCCTTGACTCTGCAACTCACTTTCTGGTAACTCATATTACTTCATATTAACCTTTTTGTGATAGGAATTCCCTGTTAAATTCATGTCATCTATTTTTTACCATAGTTTCCAGTATGGTAAGGAACTAATGTATCTTTTCTGCTTTTACACACTTACTAGTGCCTTGTACACACACACAGTGAGTACTCAATAAATGTCTGCCAAATAAAATTAATGATTTGTTAAATTGATCTGCATGAAGCATTGTTGAATTTTGGGTTTTATTTGCTTTATTTTTGACATTACGTTCATTAGATCCAAAAAACAATTTGACTGATTTTCAAAATCTGTTTAAGAGAACACTGCTATATTTTTATTAAGGATACAATATATAAAGACAGTCTCATTTGCAGGCTTGGGTTTGGTTGTAAATACTTGTTTTAAAATGGTAATAGAAATTAAAAGTAGCATTCTCTTTTGAGGTGGGTATTGCTGCCCTCCTAAATTACATAGAACCTACGTTAAAGGAGCATGCTTTTCACACATTCTTTATCAAATGCAACTAGTAGGATTGCTAGGTAAAAATACAACTGACCAAAATTGGAAATATGCCAATTGGAAATTGGGGTAAAAGGTGAACTGACAAAATATTTGGATACTAAGCTAGATTTTTCTCCCTTTAATCAAGTGAAAATAGTAAGTAAAAAAAAAAAAAATTTAAAGAGTATCCCAGGGCATAACTCAAAGGTTAAACTAAAGCAGGGAAACAATTTTATATGTACAAGTGACAAGACAGCATGAAAAAATAGACACATTTCTTTTGAGTCCTCTAAAAAATAAAAGCTACCCCAGGAGCAGTAAGTATATACAGATCAAGTTTAGAGATCATTCGAAGTCTAGTAATTTTTGCCCTCTGACAAATATAGGCTATTAAAATTTCTTACACACATAAAAATGCAACATCAATTACTGTGCAGACCAGTAAACTTTGGATGCTTTACCAAAGTCCAAAGGCCTAAGGATTCATTTCAAATATTTATTTAACACCAAATAATATTGCCAGGTACCATACTAAAGCACAAAAGATCTGAAAAGTGGTGTGAAACTCATAATTTTTAGAAGTGTATTCATATGCCATTTTCAAAATGTTCTGGTTGTCTGTGTAATAAACCTATTGAATTTTAAATGTCCAAAAAGTCACCGTCTTTTTTTTTTAAGAGAAGAAGTAGTAAGATTGAATTAAATCATTATAAGTTTAAAAAAAAACAAGACAAACACGGTAAAAGAGTTAGGAACCCTGTCAACGACTGTTGAAATGGGTGCTAAGAATCAAGGAACCATAATGTCTTTTCTTGCAATTTGTTTTCATTGTGGTAATAAGAACATCTGAGGAATCTTAACTGTAGTCCAAGTTTTGAAACTGACAAGTTATATGCCACTGGGAAAGGACCAAGAACGTCTTCAGTTTCTTAGTCAAAAATACACTAACACCTATGCTATCTACCTCATAGCACTGTAATGAGCACAAAATGAGATAACATATGTTTCTCTCACATATGTTTATTTTCAAAAGGTTTTCACAAATGTAAAGAACCATAATCTTCATCATTGATTAGAAAATCCAGTTAACTTTATATAACAGCAGGTTTCAAACTGCTTCAAAGTATGTTTCAGAAAATAAATATTCACAAGGCAACATTGTAAACCCATAAATTTAAAGTAGCCCACACAAGCCACTGATGATTAAAACTGACATACACAATCCCAAACTGGTTGTGAAAACCTATTATATTGCAATACATATTTAATGTAGCCAATGAAAAGTTTTACTTTAAAAGAAAACATTCACAGTACAAGCTGACACTCTTTTGATTAATACAGTATATTCTAAAAACAATGCTACAATTTCAGGACACAGGCACAATGGCTAATCTAAACTGTTAAAAATTAATGCTTATTTGCCCAATATCCACAGACATTTCATTATAAAGCTATAGATCTAGAAGCAATTAGTACTGTCAACTGGCTTTGTTTCAAAATTTCATTTTATATTGGTCCACCAGTAAAGAATCATACTTAGATATATAAGAGGAGGCAAAGTAGAATATAAAAGTAAAGGAGAGTACAAGTTTTATAATAATAAAGACAAAATAACATGAACAATGGACAATTCAACTACAATAATGAAATGAACTCTGTAATAAGATATACAAACTGCACATTATTTTTAGTAGCAGTACTACTCAAGAAAGTAGAGTAATAGGCAAGAATTAATACTGACATGTAAACACAACCTTCAAGTTGAGTATTCCACCTCCAGGAAAATGATTAGTTTATACTGACCACATTTCTTGATATTATGCTGCAACTACCAAAAAGGTAGCTCAGCATAGGCAATATAAATAATTTTATGGATTAAGATGGGCTCAGTTTTTAGAATGGTTATGTGAATGCATCAAATTTATGTTTTGGTCTTTCAGGCTGTCTAAAAAAGTCAGAAAACAGCCTGACAGATTTGTTTTAAGAAATTATATAAGCCTACTCCCCAAAACAAGCCAACAATGTCTTCCCCAAACCTTAATTTCCAGATTTTGAAGCATAAAAGGGTAATGCATAACACAGCAAGAAAGGAGAGATTATAGAAATGTTGCCACATTACACACATTTTAGAACAATCTCATTAAAAGGGACCACTGTCATCCATTGTTTCAGTTTGTGATAGATATTCATTAAAGTTATCATACTGAATTTACTAGGGCAAGGGTAAAGAATTTTTTTGTATTACTTAGGCATGATGATTTTAAAAGACTCAAACCTTTGCTGAAGACTCCTTGAGTTCGATGAGACTGTCCTGTAGAAAATGAATGGAGATGACAGGTGAGCTGGCATAGTTCTCAGAACCCAGAAGAACTTTGGGAGATATGGCTGTAACCTGGAAATAAACCAGCTACTTCTTGTGAGGATAAATCTCGTGATGTCATTAGTACATGAATATCAACAATAAAAAAAAAAAGCAAAACTATGTAATGGAATTGTAATGTTAAAAAAAAAACTAAATAAATTATATGTACTCAATGTAAAAAATAAACTGTCTCTGCTCAGAATTTAAAAATAAATGTCAATGCCACATTTTCCATTACACTGTAAGTTACAGGTAATGTTAAGAGGCTTAAGAAATCAAGCGATTTTTTTTCCTACACAAAAAGTTTAAAATAGTGGGGGTCACTGTGGAAGAACAACACTATCGTGCATTTTCATAGTTTTTCTTTAATTGGGAGGTTTCCATTTTTACTTTACTGTGACTCAAACATAAATAAATATATATATATTTCATATCCTAGCCAGAAAACTCAGTGGCATTATATTAAAAGAAAACAAAATGTAATATTATAAAAGACTGATTTTTTTTATTTTGCAAAGTGCCTCTGATGGTGCATCTCATACCTCCCAGAACAAAACAAAGCAAAACAAACAAAAAACAAAAAAACAAAAAAAAAAAAGCACTTCAAAGAAAGAAAAGGAAATAAATTACGGTATTCCACCACAGTGCTCTTGATGAAGAATTAGTTAACTTACAGTTTTAAAGTTCAACGTATTGCAAATTCAAAGATTCCATGAAATTAGATGGCTTTAGAATTAAAATTAAATATCAAGCAAGGAATGGCTACCCTGAGTCTTCAAGAAGGCTACACCCACGATTTTGTGCTGCAGTTGAATGCCTGGGGTTTCTCTTTGCTTGGTGGTAGGATTGGATGCCACATCTGCTTTTATCATAACGCAAGGTTCAACTTGTTGGGAACCCAATGGGTATAAACAAACCTCCAAGGGAAGATACAACAGAAGCTGCATGCTCACTGAATATACACTACAGGAGAACTGATCACCAAGGAGACTTTAAAATGGAACTCCTTTCAAGATTCCTTCTTAGAAGGCACACATCGGTATGATGCTCATCAAGAAGCTTGATGAATTCAGAGGTATCTTGTTTATCCTGTGTCATCCAGGAAGTCTTCAGTGCTATATATTCTTCAATATTTATGCCGAAAAATAGGCTTCATTCTGCTGAAAAGATTCATTTGCTTGTAGCCACCATTGCACTCCAAAAAGACTGCTTAAAGCAGTGAGGCACTTCTGGGTAAAATTTCTCTTGCACTTTGAAACACTATAAAATTAGTGCTCAGTCCTTGAAGTTGTAACATTTTTTATTATAAAAATACTCAATAGGAAAAAATATCAGTCCACCAATATGTAAAAAATTCATTTTCTAATGCAACATGAAACCTCCAGTGGCTCCAGTGAATACTTGGCATAAGACTTGAAGGAAGTCAGGACACGTATTCCAAACAGGTGAGCCTAATATGGACGCTGCCTTCCTCAGGCTATACTAACCTTTACTGTTGAGGAATGTGATGGAGAAGGATGGGTATCAATTTTGCGGCGTTTTTGTTCTGTTGGGGGGGAAAAAAAACAATAATAGTCACAATAAGACATATTTCCACTTTTTTCAAACACTTCAAAATATGACCAACTTTTAAGGTCATCAAGTATTATTTGCCCCAGTAAAGTTCCTAGATAACTTGCCAAACAAGGAGACAAGCGCAAATATACGTTACAAAGACCAAATATACGTTACACAGGCAAACAAATATAAAGAAAGGCAAACTTGCCCCTTTCAGGCTCAGTAATATCTGATCGGGGAACAGGTGACTTCAAGGACCCAGAAACTGGAGTTTTTTCTCCTCCTTTTACATTTTCCTTTGATTTCATTTCCTTTGCTATATCTCTTTCTCTGGATGGCTCCTTCTCTCTTTCCTTTTCTTGAGTCGATTTTGATTCTACGTTGGGGACAGTGGTCTTGAATTTCTCATCTTTAGCTTTGTCTTCCTTCTTGAATTTTTCTTTCTCTTTGTCAGACTTAGGCGTTCTTTCCTTCGTCTCTCTTGCTTTTTCATCTTTATTTGGTCGTTCTTCCTTCGGTTTGTCTTTACCATCTTTACCAAGTACCCTGGCCTCTGGAGTAGTAGCTGGAGTCTTTTCTTTTTTCTCTTTTTCTTTCTCTTTCCCTTTTTCTTTGTCATTTTCTTTAACGGTTTTGCTGCTTAAGAATAAAAATGTAAGATTTTAAGAGAAACAGTCATAAAATATATTTCATGTTTTTAATCATTAAGGGTTTCTTACTGACTTGTTCCTACCTGTTAGAGCCACTATTTCCATTGCTTGAATTCCCTTTTGGTGTGGCACTAGAAGCTTTATTAACAGCTTTCACACCACACTGAGATCTCTCCCTTGATTTATCTGAAATAAAGGTAAGATTTTATTTGACAATCCCCTAAATATAAGTAAACTACAATTTCATAGCAAAATGATTAGAGTTTAATTAGAAGAAACAAAGGATTGATTTACTCCTTGACAGTTACATACTCCTACCTGGGGAATAAAGAAGTAATTATAAGGCAGCATTTTACTTGGCATGTGATACAAAACATTTCAGTTTGTTGAAACAAACCATATTATTGATAAATTTCTACAAATAAGCATACCATTCTCCTCAGCACCGCTTTCATCAGATTTAGATGCACTTCCTATGGACGATGAAGAAGACCCACCACCAGGCCCATTTTGTACACTGGCAACTGCATTCCTCGGAGGGGGGTCTTTGTGATGAAACTCATTTTCAGGTATCATGTATGACTTTCTACTTTTCAACTGCCCAGAGTAGCTGAAAGTCGCACAAAGTGTTTAAATATACAAATACAAATCATAAAGCACAAACATGAGGTTTAAAAGAATAAAATTAGCAAGGTAAATAAAAATTTCAATGTAAATTAATCCTTAAACTAAGATGCCTTTTTTTCACTATTGAAGATCTGATAACCCAACTGATGATAAAATTATATTTCCTCAAAACCAGTACAGATTATATGACTTGTGAAACTATCATCCAGTATAAACCGGAAGCTGATAATCAGAAGTGACAACTCTCACCAGCCTGTGGGAACATGATCGCATAATCTCCCATAATTTCCTGAAGTAAAGCAGAAAATAAACTTCAACACTGTAAAACAGTTTAAAGTCTTCAGAATCCTTCTGTTATCTAGTCTCATAAATCACATTAAAGTATAATTGCGTTACCCCATAGCCAATGCATATAGATCAGGCCTCTTCTCTTTTTCTTCTTGGCAGATTTTATGCACTCTTCTTTCCAAAGCCTGACCCAGATTCAAAACTTTTGGGTACCAAGGAAGTATTTTTGTTAGCACAATCAAGATATTCCTGATGTGAGTATATTCGCCTGTTTCAAGGCAATGTACTGATGCCTACAACAAACATTTTAAGATCCATTATTATAAAAGTGTAAGTATGAAGAGAGAAAAAAACACCTTTGAGAAACACATTTTTTTTTTACCTTGGTTAGTTTGTAATGCCATTTATGTACAACATGCCGAAAATTTTCATAGTCTAATTGATCAGCTTTATTTCCACCATCGAATCCAGTTGCCCGTAATATAGTAAGGAATCCTGGATAATTTCCACATTCCTAAGAGGCAAAAATAGGTTGTTACTTTTTTTTAAATATATTTTATTGATTTTTTTACAGAGAGGAAGGGAGAGGGATAGAGAGCTGGAAACATCGATGAGAGAGAAACATCGATTAGCTGCCTCCTGCACACTCCCTACTGGGGATGTGCCTGCAACCAAGGTACATGCCCTTGACTGGATTCGAACCTGGGACCCTTCAGTCCGCAGGCTGACACTCTATCCACTGAGCCAAACCGGTTAGGGCTAGGTTGTTACTTTTAAAGAAAAAGCTGTCCCCCCAAAGTAGCAGAGGCTGAAACGCAAGTAGAGTAGATTAATGATTCTACGTGAAAACATGACGTGTATTTGAATGATAGGTAGTTTTCACAGAAAGGCTCAGTTTATTCAATGATATTAACTTGGAATATTATCAGTTTGAAATAGGATAAAAATATATAGCACTTTTAATAATGGATGAATTGTGTTAAAATTTTAAACACTGCTTTACAACTGAATCTTAAACTCAGCTTCCCTTTTAAAACTGAACAACCTAGAGATTTTACTGTGTCATTATATGCGTGGGTAAAATATAAGCATATTAGGCATACCTTTTCATATGTGGCTCTATCACTGTGCCACCTGGTTACAGTCTCTAACATGCAGCAAAGAAATCTCCCATATCGACTAGCTTCATTTTCAGTACAACTTGCAACTGTGTAAATTATATCAGAGAAAACCTACAGGAAAAAATGTTTGAGAAGTAAAAAAACAAACACAAGTAAAAATTAGTTCAAAATATCAAAAGATCTTGTTACAGTAAATCATAATATACCAAACAGGTAAGTTTAGTCAAAACTTATCTTCCCTTTTTACATTCACAATCCCAGAGACCTTTAAAGATTTTAGCTTTGGTGAGGAAACAGCACATTCATAAAGCAACAACAACAACAAAACTTTTATAAAGAAAGCTGATTTACAGTGACAGAAGAAAACAGCTATCACTATTATTACATCATAACTTCTTTGACAAAGACTTAGCCATAGATATGACTGGGGTTAGTAGGACAGTAAGCAGAGGCAAGTCTGATAGAAACCAAAAATAGGCAGATGACATGCTGTAACATATATTACATTTTAAACCACAAAATGCAGTAATTAAGAAAAATGCCAGGTGCAAAAATCTTGTGAATGTGACCATGCTGAAAAGCATCCCTGATGTTATGTTATATACAAAGTTGTAAGCTTTTCTGTTGTTTTTGAGGGGGTGAAGGTTAAAAATGGAGATGAGTATAGCAAACATATAAACCCAAATGTTGAGTTAATAGATTAACTAGGGGTGCTTTTTATCTATCGGGCATTATTCAAAGTGCTTTTGTGTATAGTGACTCATTTAATACTCATAACAATCTTATGAAGTAGGTACTATCCCATTTTACAATAAGAAAACTGAGGCACAGAGAGGTTAAAAAACTTGCCAAAGATCATGTAGCTAGAAATTAGCAGAGTTAGGATTCAAGTTCAGGCATTTGGCTCTTGAGTTCATGCTTTTAACCACACACACAATACCTATATAGATTATAATGTTTAGCTATCTTTGCATGAGACTTTTTTTAAAAAGTTTGCAATAAAAAGAACTTACTCGATCATAACAAAGAAGTGTGGAAAAATTTGGAGTTTTCTGTTGATGTACCAATTCAACAAAACGGGCACAGTAAACAGCATCAATTGCTGAAAAAATACAGCGAGGAAATATACACAGCTGTAGAAATTTTGTGATGGTCTCATTTTTGGTAGATTCTAAAAATAAGGGAAGAATATATTAAGTGGTAAACTTCTTCCTCAAGTGCCTCAAGGCCACTAAACATGACACCATATTAACTTTAGTGTAGAGAATGCTATACAATCACAAACTACTACTTACAGTTAGCAACCAAGGGGTCATGACTAGAATAAGACTTTCATTTTTACTCTGTGGACACTTTTCTATCTATAATTTCTCCAGAAATAAGATTTTATACAAGAAGTTAAATGATATCCACCAATTGTAGTTATAAGCTAATTAATTTTATCAGCAAACTAAATCAATTCCTTCAGTGAACATGTGAAGTTGACTCTGCATTAGTGAATAACAAAAGAATGGGATAGTGAACCGAGTTGAAATACAAATACAATACACTTGAACACCTCCAGTTTTAAAGGTCTGTTTTTGTAGTTTAGCAGTAGTAGGAACGTAACAATTCCAATAACATACTTGCTAAAAGCCAGTTGTCCTTTTCCAGTTTTAGTCTCTGTAGAACTCGCTGTACATGTTCCATCTGTTTCTTTTCTTCTTCAAGAAGTTTGTCCTGAAGGGCAGTACAGCGCTCCTTCTCTTTTTTCTTTTTATTTGGAGGCTACAAAGTATAAGTTAGATATTTTTCTAACTACAGGCACATTGTCTCCCTTTCTTTTAATTAAAAATTTCAAAAAGAGATAAATGCTATTTTATATTCATTACTTCAACAGGGGTGTTCAGGAGTCTATTTAGATGTGCTTTCACCTCCATTTAACAAATTTAAGACAAAGTCACCCAGTCTTTGTACACCATCAAAACGGGCTACCTTCCCAACACTGGTACCTTTATTCTGAGGCACAGAGTCATCTTTGACTCTTTCGTCTCCTTCATTCTAATATCACAATACAAGTCTTATGCATTCCCACAACCTCCACCATAGTCTATGCTCTCAGCACTTCATAATGACTTACCTAAAAAGCCACCTGGCTGATCTTCAGCCTACTGCTAGTCCTTTCCCCTATCAAATGCATCCCTCATACCATTGTTATAATTTTTCTAACGTAGCATTTTTATCGTTAAGTCCCTCCTCAGAAATCTAAAATAACCATCAATTTTATCAAGCCCTCTTTTCTAGTATTCACTACTCTATATACACTGGCCCCATTCAAACTTATCACTGAGCCCACTGGCTACTGTAAAAGTGGTCTCCTTAAACTTTGGACTACTTCATACCTTTGCTGGAGCTCTAGGGTAGCCAATTTGCCTTCATTATTTTCAAACCTAATCTATCTTCAAGGCCTACCCAGCTCAAGACTCACCTCCTCAATAAAGCCTTCTCCTAAAGAGTTCTCCTCTTTGGAACTACTATTGCTCTTGCAATTGGAACCACACTGATCATTTTTAAGTTCATTAACATAGACTTCAGTAGAAAAGCAAACTCAAATACCTTTTGAATGATCAAAACTTCCATATACTTACCAAGCTCTCGGCCCCAGCCATTGAGAGGTCACTATTAAACCCACTTAGGACAATATTATATAGCAACAGGATTGTGGCTTTAAGGAACCCGAGCTAACACAATTTCAAAGTATGGGTAATGCTAAATTAATACCATGATGTTATTGTACTTGAGCTACTATAATAAAAACCTACCATTTCCTGATTGTCATCAATTGCTTTCATCTGGACTTTAAGTTTACTGACTTCCCGTTCATAGCTGGTGTGTGGAACTGCAAGGTCATACATTGTCAATGACCAGAATGTGGCATAGAATTGAGGGCTGATGTCATCCCAGACTTTGGAAACATGTAAGGAGACCACTGCTTCATGGACAGGGGCCATCACCATTTCACATGATGTAATATACTTGTGAACTTTATGTTGCTGTTTACTTCCCTTTTCTGATTTTTTAAGTTCGTCATACTTGGACTGGAAATAAAAAGTAAACACACACACACAACACAATTTATAGCATTGACTTTCAGTGTATAAAAACCTATGTTCCCCAAACTGAGCTACCAAGTGAAATAGAGACAGACTCATAGATAAAGAGCAGGAAGACAGCTTAGAGTGTAGTGGTAGAGGGACTGAGAGAGAGAGAGAGAGAGAGAGAGAGAGAGAGAGAGAGAGAACTCATGGACCTGGACAACAGTGTGGTGATTGCTGAGTTCAGGAAGGGGGTGGGTAGAAGTGGAAGAGGGCATAGAAGGGATAAATACTGATGGGAAAATAAATTAACTTTTAAATGAAAAAAAATCTATGTTCCCTTTTCAAATATCAGAAGATGATCAATCAAAACTGTTGTAAGAATTCTAGTTTCTTATCAAAAAGACATTTATTTTAAGATAAATCATTCCTGGAAGCTTTTCCAATCTTTAGTCCTGTATGCTCACTAGCAGTTTTTCAGAAGATTCCTATTGAATCTGACCTGTTGAATAAGTGAATAAGGTATGTATGGCCCCGGTCCATTCCCCCTAATCTGTTCTCTCTTATTGATGCGTCATGTATTGGACATGTAGGGTTTCCACTCCTGCATTTGAGATATTCAAGTGAACCAAGTAGAAGGTTATAACACTAGTCAAGAGGCAGGATGGAACTACTACAGCCAACAAGGACAGAATGTTTTATCACTACATGTAGTCCTTATCAGCTGTTACAATTTGTCAATTAAGAAGCTAGATCAGCCCTAGCTGGTATGGCTCAATGGATAGAGTATCGGCATGAGGACAGAAGGGTCTCAGGTTCAATTCCAGTCAAGGGCATATGCCCAGGTTGTGGGCTTGATCCCCAGTAGGGGGCATGCAGGAGGTAGCCAATGATTCTCTCTCATCATTGATGTTTTTCTCTCTCTCTCCCTCTCTCTTCCTCTCTAAAATCAGTAAAAATATATTTTTTAAAAAAAGAAGAGGAAACTGGATCAACCCTAGCTGGTTTGGCTCAATGAACTGCATCTGAAGGGTCCTGGGTTCAATTCCGGCCAAGGGCATGTACCTTGGTTGCAGGCTCCATCCCCGGCCCTCGTCAGAGCTCATGTTGGAGGCAACCAATAGATGTTGCCTCTCTTACATCGATGTTTCTCTCTCTCTGTGTCTCTCCTCCTCCCTTCTACTCTCTCTAAAAATCAATGTAAAAAAATATCCTAAAAAAAAAAAAGAAAAGAAAAATATCCTCAGGTGAAGATTAACAAAAAAAACAACAACAACAAAAAATAAGCTAGACCATGCATGAGTTTGTGTGTGGGGGGGAGGTTGGGGGTTAATGGGGGGGATGTGGACACATTTGTAATACCTTAACTAATAATAATAAAAAAATAAAAAATAAAAAATAAAAAAAATAAGCTAGACCAATGCTAAAAAAGGTTATGAGAAAGTCACCATAAGACTACTAAGTAGGTTGCCCAACTGTCCAGGTTTGCCAGTAATTTAGGGGTTTCCCAGCATTTAAGACTTTAGTGCTAAAACTGGGAAAGTCCCAGGCAAACCAAGATCAACTGGTCACCCTAATGCCAAACTAATAAGATTTTCTATAAATGGTTATGGTATATTGGAGTTTAAAGTGTGTGGGAACTGACACTAGCTTTTTTGGCCTCGTTGATTTATCCTAAGTAGGAGGAGAGCCAGAGGAAGGCCATACTCTTAACTGTATGAGAAAAAGAATGTTAGTACAATGGGAAGAATTACATTATTAGTTCACAGTGTATGCCAAATATCAAAAATAAAATAATACCAGGTGGAGCTATTACTATTGTCTCATGTCCCTCAGTCTCTTTAGGATGACAGAGGTCTCACCCAGAAAATTCTGTTTGGGTTAGGCAGCACAAATGAAGATGAACCTGAGAGGAAATCTAAAACTAGCTTCTTCTTCATGTTAGAAAAGCACTTAATCATTCACAGTTTGTGCTAAACATGAAACCCAGAACTAAAAGGTCAGAATTGAAGGTTCTGCATCAGGATAGGCAAAGACGGCAAAGACCCTTCCTTCCTAAGTGCTGCTTTACCCCAGGCTCACTGGAATTGAAGGCATACCAAGTACTCTTTGTTCCAGAGAGTATCTCAAGCAGGCTATGAGAATAGTACAATTATTCTAGAAGTAGGAAGATTTATCTCATGTTATTCACAGTTTACAGAACACGCTGATAACTACTGAGACCACACAGGTGACAAAGTTACAAAGAACATTACTTATGAAAGAGAAGTCCCAATTACATCAGAGACCTGAGAGAATAGTAGCTGAGATAAGAAAGGATTTTAAAATTTTGAGAGCAGGTCCTAATGATGGTAACTAATGAATTCCTATGAGCAGAATGACATCTGCTAAGGTTCTAACAAAACAAGATAAATCCAGGATCAAACTACTGCATAAGGTAACTTAGCAAGCTGGTTTGAGTGAGATCTAGATTAACTGAGGGGAGCCTTTCAGACCCATGTTGCAAGGTAGGTCTCAGCAATTAAAATTCAAATATTAGGTTATAGGTATGAGAGGGTTATATGATAGCCCCAGTCTCCCCAATCCTCTGTTCCTGGATCTGTTACTTCTATTGCTGTCACCCCCTATTCCCTAGGCTTGATCAGTTACATTGCATATTTACCTAGGATGAACATTTCCTTGTCTAAAGTCAGTTTAACTCCCTCCTCAAGCTCACATCTTTAGTCAAATGGAGCGGCACAATAGTTCTACATCTCAAGTCACCTGGGGAACTAGATCTATGGAATAGAACTGATATCCAGTTATTGCTGTACTTCTAATTATTGGTTTTAAAAAAGCTCTTGCTGGCCCAATAATTTAAGCAGTGTTTGGTTGGCTAAATTATTCTCATGAAAGCCTGCTAGTAGTCAACTTATGGAAGGGACCTAGCAGTCCTCCAATACTCATATTCTCTCATCGAAGGCTCTTCAAGAGAGGTTTTTACTAAAAGAGCAAAAGCAAGGATCCCAGGGAAGGTTGGCTATCATCCACTGCAACCAGGGTTGCTGAGGAACTCCCTTTCCAGAGGGTAGCATGTAGGCTCTGTATAGCAACCTCTGTATAGTTGTTTTCTTCCTCAACCCTGAGGAAATATTTTTGTTTAGAGTTTTGTATCCCTTAAATGACAAAGTCATAATATTTTACACAGGCTACAGAAAAGGCAGCTATTGGTATAAGTGACCTGCTCCATTTTCTGACCTGGAAAAGTTCAGCCAACGTCAGGTAACCATGTGTTTCTGTTTGCTAGGCTTCAATATCGCTGATTAGTGTGTTCTCGGTATAACACAAGATAGGTTAGAATTCCTGAGATGAAGAAATTCTCCCTGATCTACTGTGGGGTGGAGTGACAACACAAGACATAACTATGCAAAGAGTGTAAGATATTCTGAATTGAGAGATTCTAAAGGACAAGAAAAGGTTAGAAGAGGTCAATGGGGGAGGGTGGTAAAGGGGACATATGTAACACTTTCAACAATAAAGATTTCATTAATAAATTAATTAATATATAAGAAGAAAAAGCCTATTCATTCTCCCTTATTCTCCTATCTCCTCTAGAAAGTACAGCAAAGAATAGCTGCATGCTAACAAAGTGATAATTAAATCAATTAACATTTAGTTAGTTGAAGGAGTTGTGAGACTGTGACAGTTGATATGTAAACACTAAGAGCTAATGGTTGGTTAAATGATCAATTATACACCAAATTTCTCAGTGCCTTTTTTCCATGCCTGTACTACACAGCCTTGTACCCCTACTGGGAACAAAGAAGGTATCCTAGCTTAAGAGACAAGTCTAAGATCTTTCCCCAAATGTGTAAAGGAATCTTTGTATAGTACAGACTTAAAAACAATAAATAGAAGGGCCAGAATCCAATTCTAACCCAAAATTAAGAATATGCTGGGATTCCAGTCAGAGTGGGAAAGTACCACAGATTCCAAACAGAGGATTGACCATGGCCCTGAGGGAAAAGGAAAAATGAATTCCAATTAGAAAAATTAGATGTCACTGCTTTGCAGGTAACAGTGGCAGATAGAGTAGAGAGGGCTGTCTCCTCGTCCTAGTCACTACTGGAATACTCTGCTTCAGAAGGCTCTAGTTTGCTTTTCATGATGTTTTTTGTTTTCAGTTGTTTCATGTAGGTGGAGAGAAAACAACCATAAATACACCTTTCCTAGAAGTTACACAACAGACACTAAGATTTTTGGGGAGTACTTAAGACTTTCTGTCTATATTTCTTTCAAGGCAGTATGCATAATAGCAAGTCAACTATCTGACAGGGAATTTGTCATTGAGGAAACAGGACTCTGTATTCAACAGGAGTGTTTCTTGGAATGACATACCACATTCATTAATTTCAGAATCATCTAGTACAGCGGTTCTCAACCTGTGGGTCGCGACCCCTTTGGCGGTCGAACGACCCTTTCACAGGGGTCACCTAAGACCATCCTGCATATCAGATATTTACATTATGATTCCTAACAGTAGCAACATTACGGTTATGAAGTAGCAACGAAAATAATTTTATGGTTGGATCACAACATGAGTAACTGTATTTAAAGGGCTAGAAGGTTGAGAACCACTGATCTAGTACTTCTTAAAAAAAACAAATAGCCCTAACCGGTTTGGCTCAGTGGATAGAGCACCGGCCTGTGGACTGAAGGGTCCCAGATTCGATTCCGGTCAAGGGCATGTATCTTGGTTGCAGGCACATCCCCAGTAGGGAGTGTACAGGAGGTGGCTGATCAATGTTTCTCTCTCATCGATGTTTCTAATTCTCCCTCTCTCTTCCTCTCCATAAAAAATCAATAAAATATATTAAAAAAATAAATAAAAACACAAAACAAACACATATCCAGGTACCATTCAAGTTATTAAATTAGAATTGGGGGCCCTGGCCAGTGTGGCTCAGTTGTTTGGAGCATTGTTCCATACATCAAAAAGCCTCGGGTTCAATTTCCAGTGAGGACACATATTTAGGTTGTGGGTTTAATCCCCTGGCCCTGGTAAGGGTGCATGCAGAAGGCAACCACGCAGTGTTTCTCTCTCTCCCTCTCCCTCTCTCTCTCCCTCTCTCTAAAAATCAATGAAAATGTCCTTGGGTGAGGATTAAAACAAAATTAGAACTGGGGGACATGGGACTCAGTTTGTAAGATGCTTTGTTGGTGAGTCTCATCTACACTAATGTTTGAGAGCTATAGTTCTAGAGGGCCCATAAGACATCAACCTGGATAACTAGTGGCACAGTAACAGTAAAATTATAGAACTAATAAGACTTACTTTTAAAGGGGACATTTGCATTATATACTGCTCAGAGATGAATATTAACAAAAGAGTAACTCTCCAAGAGACAATCTATATCTATGTCAAAGTAAAATGCAATTACAAATGAAACAGTTAAAATTATTTGAAATTGTTCGTAAATTACAGCAATGATATTTATACTTACTGAAATATGGTGTGCATACATTGGCCTAGACAGGAAAAATGCTGCATCATGGGGTGTATGAAATTCGTTACAGAGCACATCAATTGAAGGCACTCGCTTTATATAATCTTCTGTGCTTAAATTAGATGCTAAAAACCCACCAAACTGTACCAGGGTATCATGACACTAAATTTAAAAAATAAAACAAAAAAACACAAATGTGCTATCATTTTACAAAAACAAGATAAACATTTTCCAAAATGATTAAGGTGCCATTTAAACAATATTTTGATTAACAAGAATTTAAAGTTGACAAATTGAAAGAACTATAAAGACAATGTACAATCATATTACAAAAAAGATGCCAACGTACTGAAAGTATACTAATCTAAGGCTTTAAGATCAACCAGTTCTCAAGTTCCAAGTTACTGTTCATCACTTTTAGTAGCAGAATATATTTACTTAAATCACATACAACAATTTTATGTAGACAAAAGTCAATTCCCTTGTCCTTAAAAGATTAAAACTTCATTTATAAAATATATATGATCCTTTTTCCTTGTAATATAGTGATTGTTAAACACATTTTGTAAGCTAACCATAGATTTGGTGCTTAATATTTATAAATATATTTTATAAATAAAGATCACATCTACTTTGCTGTGACTGAATTTTCAGAGATTAGGAAAGATATGAGAGCAAACAACTTAGTTATCTACTTAACTGAAAACCTTATACATATTATTACATCTCCTAGAGCCACTGATTAAATATCATAATTTGCACAGATATAGCCCATTTCCAGAATGTCTACTTTACACTTTACATTAGAAATGTTTTACACTCATATGTGCAAAATTACATTTTTCGAGTTATAGAACATGCTGTATTTGCCATTAACAGGATTTTTAAAAATTACCATAAACACAAAAGCCACTTTAACTTGCCTGATCATAGAGCTTTCCCACAAGTTTCAAATGTTTCTCTCCACCTTCTTGAAAGATCACCCCATTCCTCTGCTGAGCCATAAGCAAACAGAGGGGAAGAGCAAGATCATGGTCTAATAGTGCATCCTTTAATCTCTGGGAGGATTTTTTAGTGTTTCTGATCTGGCCAAAATAACCACCCTGCAAAAGAGAAAACATAAATTTATCTTCCCTTTCTTTGAAAATTTATTTTAGTGACACTGTTACTAGTTATAGTGACTGACTTTAAAATAACTGTCAACTGCCTTGAAACGTCTGCATATTTTCCATTTTCTACCATGCAGTCTCTTATAAAGGATTATTCTTTATTCAGTGTGGAGCAGATTCAACAACAGAGTAGCTATGTTCAGATTTATGCCTGTTAGGATACCAAGAACCACAGAATATTTGATATTTATTTCCTTTACAGATGTGGTTTATTTCCCTTACAGACACCAGGGTAGCTTGAGGGGAACATATAATCAAGAAAGTAGTCCTTTTCTTTACTTTGTTTCAGCTTTTTAAAAAGGTTAAAATATGCCCTGGCCAGGTAGTTCAGTTCGTTAGAACATCGTCCAGAGATACCAAGGTTAAGGGTTTGATCCCTGGTCAGGGCACATACAAGGATCAACCAATGCATGCATAAATAAGTGGATTAACAAATCAGTGTTTCTCTCTCTCTTTCTCACTCTCTCTCCCTTCTTCTCTCTCTCTAAAAAATTAATAGCCCTAGCTGGTTTGGCTCATGTATAGAGCGTCGGCCTGCGGACTAAAGGGTCCCAGGTTCGATTTCAGCCAAGGGCACATGCCCAGGTTGCGGGCTCGATCCCCAGTAGGGGGCGTGAAGGAGGCAGCCAATCAATGTTTCTATCTGTCTCTCCCTCTCTCTTCCTCTCTGAAATCAATAAATATTTTTTTAAAAATTCAAAAAATCTACACTAATAAAAGAGAAACATGCAAAATTGGTGTCACTTCGCTACACCCACCAGCCAATCAGAGTGACTATGCAAACCAACCCAACAAAGATGGTGGTTAATTTGCATATGCAGGTGCGGAGCAAAAGGCTCTGACCAGAGTGAAGACCGAAGACTGAAGAGGCTTGGCTTCTCCACTGCGGCCGCAGCGGAGTAGCCAAGCCTTGCTGCGGCCAGAGGGGTGAAGCCTTGCCTCGAGGCTTGGCTTCTCTGCTGCTGCCGGACCAAAGGCCTGGGTCCCGGGTGCAGGAGGAAAACCGGTGCTGGCAGCCAGGGGAAGGAACGCCTATTGCACGAATCTTTGTGCAATGGGGTTCTAGTTAATAAATAAAAACATTTAACTAAAGGTTAAAATAACTAATATATCACAATTTTTAAAAGGAAGGTGGGGACAGTTGTGAGAGGAGAATAAGTATGGCTCTGATGTTTGGTTTATGTATTTATGTACTATTTGGATTCTTTAATGTGAGCATGCATACATTCTGAACTTTAAAAAAATCAATAAATAAAAATAGCAACTCTCACCTCAGCTTTTAGTTGCTCTCCACCAGTCATGGCCTCTAGTTGCTCCATTGTCATTTCCTCTGTAATTTCTATTCCTGCCATTTTTTGTACCACTTCTTTCAATATAAGCAGGTCAAAACTATTTAGAAAAAATAAGAAACAACCTATAGTTGAAACTTAAAACATAAAAGTGGCAATATATGGTAACTGAGAACCCCTAAACTATTTGTACATAACTATGAGGAGAAAAGGGTTAAAGCATTTTTAAGGAACAACTGCATTCCTAGAACTATACAAAAAATATTTGGGCCATGTAATATGTTTACATTTATTTGAACATTTTACTTGGAAATAATGTACAGATAACATGCAAAGATAAAAACAGTCCAAAGCTTTACCCCAAGTTCACCTATTAACATTTTACTCCTATTTGTTTTATCATTTGTGTTTTCTCTCTTTCCCTCCTCCCTCTTTCTCTACACACACACAGACACACACACACACACATCTTTTGAACCATTTCAGAGTTCATTTAGTATGTAACATCATTTTAGGAGAACATTCACCCCTAAAATTCTTAAGACTATTATTTCCTAAGAGTGCATTTCCTAAAAATACAGCTATTCTCTTATATAACCACAGCAGTTATCAACTTTAGTAGATCTAACATTGATACAATACTTTAATCTATAATTCATATTTCATTTTTATCAGCTGAATTTTCAGTTCATATTTCATTCTTATCAGTGACCCAATTATGTCCTCCATAGCATTTTTTTAACCCTCCAGTATAGAATGGCCAAAAAATGTTTTTTATGGTATAGAGATATCTCTCTAAATAATCACACACACTTGGAAAGAATGGAGGGATGGAAGGAGGGGGGATGGAAAAAAAGGAAGGGACAGTGGATAGAGTGTCAGCCTGCAGACTGAAGGGTCCCGGGTTCGATTCTGGTCAATGGCACATGCCAGGTTTGCAGGCTCGATCCCCAGTAGGGGAGGGAGGCATGCAGGAGGCAGCGGATCAATGATTCTCTCTCATCATTGGTGCTTCTCCTTCTCTCTCTCTCTCTCTCTCTCTCTCTCTCTCTCTCTCTCTCTCTCTCTCTCTCTCTCTCTCTCTCTCCCCTCTACCTTCCTCTCTGAAATCAATAAAAATATATTTTTAAAAATAGAAGGGGACAGAAGATCCATGTTGTGGTATTTAGACCTAACATGACAATTTAGTGGCCAGCCTTAAGCACATTTATTATTGTGCCAACAGTTATACATTTTAATTCTTAAAGTTCAGGACTGTCAATGGAAATAATGCCTATGACTTCCAAAACCATCTTTAATTAGTTAAGTAAAGAACATAAAGTGAAAACATTCTTTCCCATAAAACAAATGCAGATATTTTCCCAAAGGTAAAGCTAGACATATCCAATACACAAAGTAATAGACAAAGAAACAGTTTTCTAAGATTCTTTGTAAGTGCTTACTCTTTCAACTGGCCTTGTCTTACCTAAACATAATTTTTGAAAACAAGAGGGCCCTCATGCAAATCAGTATGCAACAAGTCCCAATAAAACATTTTTCTTTAAACTATCTTTTAATTAGATGGTCACAAAAACTAAATTTACAGTACAGACAACTAAATTATAGATTTTAAAATAACATTATGTTCTCCTAGCCTATAGACACTAAAGAGTAAAATACATAGGAATGGCCAATTAGATGAGCATAGCATAAGTGCTATATTCATAACATCCTGAATCTAAATAATTTTTTAAATTTTCCCTAAACCTAAATAATAATGTCAAGAATTCCTTAGGTAATATTTGTTTGGAACACCAGATAGCTTTACAGATTTTTTGTTTGCTTTCTACCAGAGAGCTTTTGTAAACAATTTTCAGTTCTTTGATTCTAGTCAGTCTACTGCTGATAAGGTTTAATATACATACTAATTCAAACTCTAAGCACTGATATTGGTCCAGAATAAAATAATAAAACTCAGTATGTATAAAGAAAGGAGGGTACTATTCAAAAGGTATGTAAGCTCTGTCTCTCTAAAGTTCAAATTCCAAAAAAAATTTTTGTTAAAGATACTATATACACCCTCAGAATAAACATGCTCCTACCAAATGCTCAGTGTAAAGGCCAACTGCTGTCCAGGAGCATAATCAATACTTTTGTCATAAGAGGATTTACAATATACCATATTAACCATTTATTCAAAAGCCTAACAGGTAGTCAATATTTATAACCAAATATTAATTTCTTTTGGCAAAAAAGTGTTTATGCATTAAATTATAATTTATTTTACTTAAAGAATTCCACCTACATAAGTGGGCAACTAGTCTACTTAAGCCTACAATCAACAAATAGTTTTTCAGGATAATAGAAATCTTAATATCCCAATGTCACCAGAAGCACTCTAATTATTGAATTTCATTTACATATAATTTGCTATGAATACCTTTTGCCCGCCTTTAGCTGATTAGCCACATATTGAAGAAGACCAGCAAGATCAATTGGATATTTACGAAAAACTGCACCACAGAAACTAGCCAGACCTATATGAAATTAAAAAAGGGCTTTTAAAAAACAATTCATAAAACAAAAAGTACAATATTGAAAGTCATTTCTTCAACTAACTCAATTTCTAAAACAAAATGAGATAGGAATAATTGTATTGCTGATACCACTTAATAAGAGTTTTATAATTGATAATAGCTAATATTTATTGAGGATACATATGTGAAACACTGTATTAGATAAGCACTTTATGTTAACTTATCTCATTTAATCTTTACAATAATCATCTCAGGTTTGATGAAAATTTAGAACACAGATATAATGTATCTTGCTCATGGTCACATAATTGGTCCATGGTAAGAGCAGTGATTCAAATATATATGGCCTGTTTCCAGAACCTGTGGCCATGACAAAATCTTTCAGATTAGTCAGTAAACTTGAATGGTCAACAAAACACCTGCCCCTCAAATGTTTGTCATGAAAAAAAAATATTTTTATCTAGAAACATGCTACTAGTTGTGGAGGAGTAAGGAAACAGGTAAAGCAATGCCAGACCAAGAAGCAGAAAAAAAGACCAATTTTAACCAATAGCCCTTATCACATCATGAGTAGAGAGAAAATCCCAGTCAAGTTAAGAGGAGATCCTAGTAGAATCAGGTTATCTGTAGCCTTTTTGACAATTATTTGTTGAGCACCTAAAGGATAATGGACAAAACATAGGTCCTGCCCTCAAGGAGCTTACAGTCTAATGATGGATAAAGAAAAGAAACTGAAATAACTATGAGGAATAAAACATTCCATGGGAGTGCAGAAAAAAAGGCACCTAATTCTGATTTTGGGGTAGGAGCATTAACAGGGAAAGCTTTCCAAAGAAAATGACCTCTAAGATGAAATCTAAGCTGAAATCTAAGATGTAGTGGAGGAGGTGAGTGAGCAAGGAAGGGCATTCCAAGTAAAGGGAATAATGTGAAAACGAGACATGGAAAGTGCAAGAACTTCAATATTAATGGAATACTGAGGAGGAGCAAAAGACGAGGCTAATACGGTGAGTAAGAACCTGATTCCCAAAGAACTTACTTGTATGACTTACTAGATTGCAGACTTTAAAAGGCAATGGGGAGCTACTGCAAGATTCAGCTATCAGATAGGAAAGGTTGAAAAAAGGGGGAACTAGCTGCTAGAAATCAAAGATATAAGACATTTTTTTTTTTAAGGCTAGAGTTTTTTATTATTAAACAACCAAGTTTTTGTTCTTTTAATATGACTGAAACCTCACGATAAAAATGAAAGGAGAATAGTTCCCTTAAGATTAATTCCCCAGCCCAGCCAGTATGGCTCAGTGGTTGAACATCGACCCATGAACCAGGAGGTCACGGTTCGATTCCTATTCCTAGTCAGGGCATATGCCTGGGTAGTGGGCTCGATCCCCAGCTGGGGGGCATGCAGGAAGCAACCAATCAATGATTCTTTCTCATCACTGATGCTTCTATCTCTCTTTCCCTCTCCCTTCCTCTCTGAAATCAATAAAAATTTATTTTTAAAAAGATTAATTCCTCTAAGATAATAAAAGTGCATTTTCATCTCCCCAGTAATACTTGCCCAATTCTATCATAGCCAATACTGGCCTCTTGAGTTGGAAAATGAGTAAGTATTATATGAACTTCCTTACACAGTCAAGAACTTGGACACCAGTAAAAAAAAGTTGAGTGGCTATTCTCAAGAGCTCTTGCCAATAGGCTCTTAGAATAGGTAAAGGAGCACACCGCATGGCAGTCATAAATGTCATCCTTGGAAAAAATAAAAATACTTACTCTGAAGCCAGCTTGAGATGGTTGTGTCATCATGTTTCATTCTCTCTTTTTCTGGATTAGCTAAAGCTTCAATGATACAATCTTTCACACATTAAGGAAAAAATTTAAGTCACTACATCTCTATCAAAGACTCTTAAAACAACAACAAAAATGCCATTTCTTAGGAAAAAATACAATTGTTAGCTTCAAGTTATTGCAAATTAATGAAAACTAGACTCACTATAGTATCAACTCTTCTTTAGCTTTTTCCCATCTTTCAGCAAGCAATAGACTCCACCTATATCAAATGTTTATACATTTGAAAACTATATGATCTTATTAATCAATGTTACTCCAATAAATTTAATAATTAAAATAAAATAAAAAGATTTTTTTTCTTCCCATTGAGTAATCAGTGGGGTGATAAAGAAAAATGTTTAGTAAATGTAACACTGTTTTTCCCTATACACAACACAGACACTCTCTCTTTTCCCCTCTCTCTCTCCTGACTGAACAACCTTCAGATCAACCAACTGAATCAATCTCAGATGGTTACAAAAGGAACTTAGAATGAAAATAAAACATTCACCATTAAGATCTATGGAATGTGAAATCTATGTATTACTTCACTTAAAAGGATACAGGCCAAGACATCATAATTCAACGAAGTGAGGTATTTCAGTGAATCTACTACAGGTGTTATTAAGTTATCATACTTCTGTATTTGTGACAAAATCTGGAAGATAGCAACATAGAATAGATGGTGTTAACTAATCAAAAGAGAACTTCTGTGCTAACTAAATAATGGCTATACATTTTATTTTTCAAAAATAGTTTCCTTCCATTTAATATTTATATAAAAACCTTGGGTGTTCCAAAAATGTATACACTTTGAATAATTATAAAGGCAGTGTTTATTAAAATATATTTCATTTTCAAAATGTAATAAAAATCAGCTGTTAAAGTGTGTATACATTTTGGGGGGACATATTATATTTTCTTGGGCTACATTTCCAATTAGGAAATAATTCTAAGATATCTAAATTTGAATTTTAGACATATAGAGGCTAGTCAAATGTGTTTTCGAAATTTCTATTTAAATATGAACATATGAAATCAATGAAATGTTATTCAAATGTTTCTAACTACAATCAAATAATGAATCTATTACTGCTTCTATAAATCAAAATGTGGTAAAGATATTAGACTGTTTATAACAGCAACACTGTTACATATTATTAAAATAGATCAATTTGTTAAATATATTCTAAAAACAAAATTAATGATAAAATGATTCATTTGCTAAAGGTTTTTTCCTCTATAAAACACTTTTAAAACTACATCAGTCCATTCTACTTATGCTGACTTAAAGACAAAAAAAAAAAAACCCTTAAAATAATATTAACCCAAAAACATACATAATCAAACAAAATGGTTGGATTGCTGTGGCTAAGCTTCCCAATCTGTCTTCCAGAAGGTTTCACATTTTCCTTGGTTAGACGCCTACAAGGGGAGAAAAAGGTGACATGGATCATCTTAAGTAATTTCCCTCATAATGTTGATAGCTTTGATACATCATGAAAAAAAAATTCCTTGCCAAATATCCAAAATGGATCCATGTAAACAACCACATTTATCACAGACTTGAATGAAGGACTTGGGACTATTTTGATTAGGCATTCTCCCAGAAGTCATTAAGATCTTGTCTTAATGCTTAATTTATAATACACACATTTCTATTTTGTAGTAATAGTCTAATAAGCATTAAAACTCTAAGGTATTCTACAAGTACATAAAACTTCTTATGGAGAATCATAATTATTTTAAATTAAGAAGGGCTATTTTTATCAGTTTAGAGATTAAGATATCCAATTTGGTATAATGTAATGAAATATCTCACACCATCTGTCAGTGACCATAATAGCTAATACTATATTCCTTGATACAGGAAGTTCTCTGGTTCTCAGAAAGTGTCTCTAAAGTAAAGAATTTTTGAAAAGTAAATTATCCTTTCCTTCTTCTTTAATTTTTTCCTCTGCTCAGTATTCTTTTACTAACATTCTAGAAATTTATATCTGTGAAATGTCTATTATACACCATCTTAAACTCTTCCAATAAGATTATTGCATAATAAATCTAGAAACTTCAAACATGAAAAGCTTACAAGTGATAGGAAGCTTTCTAAAATGAAAATATAATGAAGCAATAATAAATTCAGTTGATAGCTCAGGAATGTGGCCATTCTCAAAGTAACAAACTTGATATAATTATCTGAAGAAGCGTCTTATGACAAAACTAACCCTCCAATTAAAATTTTTTAAAATCATCAACTGCTTCCCTTTCCCATTCTCCTTGGACTAGTTTCTTGAATTTTTTTTTTTGCCACAAAAGAGACATCCATCAGTTTCAAACTTTGGCTATACTCTGTTTCACCTTAAAACTTAACACCATCTGTCCTTACTTCTAACCATACCGTTTCAGGTGGCCCTCCTACTTGCCAAAGCTAACCCTTCATCTATAAATACGTTTTATCCTGTTCCTTTCTGCCTCCCACACTCTGAAGGGGGAAACAAAAATAAAAGGAATACTTTCTTGACTATAACTTCCCTTCAAGCTACCATGGTGCCTGGCATATGGAACACAATGAGTATTTGCAGAATGAAGTATTAGATGCCCTATAGCAAATTCATTTTTTAAACAGTAATCAAAACTTGTAAAATTCTGCAAGTAATAAATTAATACATTCCATTCTCAACATAAAAAGTTCAATCAGTATCAGAATCACACTATTCAAGCCAGTGAAATAGTTATAGCTAACACAAATCCAAGTACATTTAAAATTCTGCACATATGTTGTGAAATTTTTATTAATTTATTCATTCATATTAATGTTTTCTATTGACAGGCAAAGTGCTAAGCACTAGGAAAAAGGAGACTAACAGCTCCTGCTTCATGCTCAGTCCAGCTGCGGAGACAGAGTTAAAAAGCATTTTTTAAATGTTTATATTCTTAAACAAACAGAGCAAATCTCAGAACAGTACTTATTATATGCTATCAATAGTATAATAAGGGGGAATATATTTGTATTCATTTGTATATACATAAAAATGTCAGCAGGATAAATAAGAAACTAAACAGTGGTACTTTGTTCCCTTGGGAGGACTGAATGGAAAGGGGAATGGGATGAGAGGCATTTTCTTGCCAACCTTTTTATATATACTGAAATTTAAACATTGTAAATATATACACAATTCAAAAATTAGATAATTAAAAAAGAAAAATCATAATAATAATGTATCTAAGTGATAGCATTATATGTATATGGGACAGTGGTGGCACAGATAAAGATCAATTATGCTTAGCAGTATATACTACAGAAAGCTTCACAGAGGTGACACTGGAGCCAACCAACGGAGTATGAGGCCACCAGACAAAGAGAGAAAAGCTAAAAGAAAAAAATTATACGAACAGAAAAATATATATATATATCTGCAAAGGAAAAGGAGACCATAGCACATTCAGGAAAACATAAGTGGGCTCAGTACAGCTGGAGGTAGAACTGGCAGGAAATGAGGTTGAAAATAGGGAGGGACAAGTCATGGAGGGCCTCTTATTTTACCTTACCATAAAATTTAACATACAACCTGTGGCAATGGTTAGTCACTAAAGGACTTTTGAAGAAAGAATACAAGGCGCTGTAATACTCCAGATGAAAGAACTAAGTTAATGGCAGTAGAGTATGGAAGAAACATATTCAAGAGATTTAATAATAGTTAATATATTATTAAATAATCAATATAAAGCACTTAGTTCAGTGGCTGGCCCACACAATAATGGCTCCATAAATATTAGTAGTTGTTGTTAAGCTAGGAACTCTACCTGGGGAATTCTGTTTTTTTAACCTGGGGAATTCTTAAGACCAAAACTCTTTCAGAAGAACCAGTTCTAATATTAATCTCTTTCCATGCATTCCCTAACTTTCACGGCGTGAAATAATTCACTATCTTCTTTAACCTCCCATAGAATTTTATACACTGTATAGCAACACCTATTGAAACAGAATGTGAATGTGCACACACGTTTCCCAGTAGACTGTGACCAGGAACAATATCACTGGGCAAAAACAATAATACGGCAAACTGTGAAATCTAGTTAAACTACAGAATGCACTGTTTTTAATTAGAATAATCATACTACTGCGTGAATGATAAAGAAATGATAAAGAGCCTTGCTAAAAATATTTGCAATAGAGCAGTATTTATATCTAAACCAATACTAATGTGAAATATAAAATTTTCATAACTAAACTTCAAACAGTTTACCAGGAAGTAAAAAATAAAAAACATCACTCTTGTGCTTTTAATGACATGAAAATAAAGCACACAAATAAAAAGAAATTTAAATTTTTCTAAAGGTGACTTCCTATGGAGATAGTTCTACATAATTCTATTAGATCTTCAAAAAGGAAAAAAATCTTTCTTATAATAACTTTCAGCAGTAGAAATTCCTAGACCTTTGACTACCTTACACAAGCCATTAAATGTATAATGCAAATTAAGCAAAGGCCACAGTAGGTTGTACTTTTAAAAAATCCTATAATGTAAAAAAAAACCCTATAATTAATGCATTAAAAAGGATTTTTATTAGATTTCATAGCTATACAAACACAATTACAAAAACTAACCTGGTAGTCAAAATGAGCTATAAACCACAAAAATCTATAGTCATTCTATCTGCAGTATATAAGTAGCTATGCCATTAGGAAATACTCTTGGGCTTCTTCAAAATTGAGGCTCCAACATAAGCTGGCTGAAAGTAAATTAGATCCAGTTATACTTTAGATCAATATAAAGAAAATTAATTAAAACTTACTTCATGATATATTTGGCTCTATCTATTGTTTGAGCTTTAACTTTTACTAAAAGTGGGTGACTGTTGTAAGTTTCATTCTTCCACTGGCCATACAGACGGTATCTTAAAAAATGAGATGAAGAATTAGGGAAAGTTAAACACTTTGAGGTTAATACACTAAAATAGTAGTTCAAAATACAAAAATATTACATATTTACCTGTGCTGATATGGAAATGTTTTAAACATTCCCCATAGTTCCTCAGACATACAAGCATTGCAGTCCATCAAAGAAAGAGATGGAAGTAGTACCTGGTCAGTAATGCTAAGCAAACAGCTGAGGATAACTTCCTAAAAAAAAGGAGGAAAAATTATTTCAGTAAGAGGTCCATATTAATCCCCCCACAAATAAATTTGTCAGCCTTGGAAAAATTGCCATTTCTTGATCTCATAACACACCGTATCTAATCCCCCACACTATCACTGTCCTTTTCCATATAATGGTTGTGTTTCTCCATCTAAGAAAGCAAATGAAGTGAGGGAAGGAAAGAGGTAGCTAGAGAATGAGGAGCTTTTATTATCCCTCTTCCTTCTTCAGATGGTAATCCTCAGAAACAGGAGACTGTCAATCTTAAAAGATAACTTGTATAATAATTATTCACACAGGTGATGAAAGCTTGTCCATAGTAAAATTTTCAGTATTCCGTACCTAGACAAACATTAGACACATTGGATTTTTCCAGTCTCTTACCGTTTTCTCTTTATCTTCTTGTTTGCTTCCATCAGACTGAAACTAAAATTTAAAAAAAAAACTATAAATAAACTGTAAAAAGGTTAAGAATATGCTGTCACAATTTAGTTTCTAATTTGAAAAAATTAATTTGCACATGGTTGTGAATTATTTCCTTACTACTTACACACATATAGGTTTTATATATAGCCAGCATTACCAATTAATGTTGTTAAACTTCATTTATATTACTAACCTCTAAATCATTTGCAACATTCATGAGTTTTAAATGTCGTTTATAAGCTAATTCTTTTCTCAATCTTGTCACAAACCAAAACATCCTACAACTAATTCAAGGTATTTATTATAAAACTGTAGCCAAAGCAAGTTAGTTATAATGCATTTGCATTTTCCAACCAATTCTTCCTTACAGAACTAATAAAATCTAACACTAAAACAACCATAAAAAAGTAACCCCAAAGAAATTTAAAGGTATATTTTAAATCACTACTACTTATGCCCTCACTGAGAAATAAGCCCAAAATATTAATAACATTGCTGACAAAGACAAAACCACTACCTAAATTGGACATACTGAAAAAACATGGGTCAGTATTATATCAATGATTTGCACGTGCACAGCTTAAGTGCCATGTTTGACAATGCTATTTCTTCAAAATGAAATAGTAATACTTGTCTGTGTGTGTGTAGGAAGGTGGACGGTTGGGGGAGTGTGCAAAGGACAAATGAAGCATGTATACTCAAGAACAATCTTAGAGTTCTGGATAGAATTTAGCATAAATACCAAGTGAAGGAAGGGTATAAGCTAATATACAGCTAAGAAGCTTCCTATTTTCTTGGCAGATGAGGGTATTCTGTGCATGTATGTTTACATGCTTAAGTAATTTAATGGGTGTAACTAAAGGAAAGTTTAACTTCTATGCAACATTTTCACCTAAGACTAATTCAGGGACTGCCATGTTATCCTGATGGAAAAACAAACACAATCACATTTCTTTTAATAGACAGGATAAAAAGCTGTTGCTCTCTTTCACAGAAATAATTAAGTCAATATATATCCTGGTCTGAAAATAAGGAATCAGGTTATGAAGGATAGGCCTGGCAGAAAACAAACTAGATAGTTGTTTTTGTTTTGTTTGTTTGTTGGGGGTGGGTGGCTAATACTGGCTGCACGCTGGAAGGCAGAAATAAGGGTATGTCATAGTTAGAACTAGATTTATAGTATACTAGAGCACCAGGCCATGTCCCTGGGCCTGGCTGGCAATCAGGGCCAACCTGTGGGGCAACCAGCAGGGTGATGGGGGGGGGGGGCGGGGAGGGGGGGGAGGCCTGCTGGCACCTGCCTTGGCCAGCCTGGCGCTGCCCGCTCACTAGCCCCACTTCCGCCACCACCAGTCGCCTCCCCCTGCGGGGCGATCGGGGGGCCTCTGCTGGCACCTGCCTTTGCTGGCCTGGGGGCAGCTCCTGCGTTGAGCGTCTTCCCCCTGGTGGTCAGTGCATGTCATAGCGACCAGTCATTCCGCTGTTTGGTCGATTTGCATATTAGGCTTTTATTATATAGGATTATGTTGGGTATAAAGACAGTTAAACTACTCCTTTCCTGGTATCCTATCTAATAATAGACAAACATGGTAATTAACCATACCTCCGCTACACTTCCCACTGGCTAATCAGGGTGATATGCAAATTACCTGCCAACCAAGATGGCGGCCGGCAGCCACGCAGCTGAAGCGAACATGAGGCTTGGTTGCCCCGGCGATGGAGGAAGCCAAGGTTCTCCGCCTGCCGCAGCCCAGCTCTAAGCTGCATTCTAAGCAACGTTTCAATTATAGAAGCTAAACAAACCCCAGATACCTGCTTTCAGCTGGCTGGCCTCGGAGCTGGAGCCGCAACAAAGTTTCAATTACAGAAGGTAAATAAATCCCAGAATAAAAAAAAAAAAAAAGAGAGAGAGAGACTGGGAGCTTCAGTTGCAGGCTTGGCGTGCCTGAAAACAGTCCTCAGCCCCTCATCCAGGCTGGCCAGGCACCCCAGTGGGGACACCCACCCTGATCTGGGACACCATTCAGGGCAAACCAGCCAGCCCCCACACGTGCACCAGGCCTCTATCCTATATAGTAAAAGGGTAATATGCAAACTGATCCTAACAGCAGAAAGACTGGGAATGACTGGTCACTATGACACACACTGACCACCAGGGGGCAGACGCTCAATGCAGGAGTTGCCCCCTGGTGGTCAGTCAGCTCCCACATGGAGGAGCTCTGCTCAGCCACAAGCCAGGCTGATGGCTGCCAGTACAGCAGTGGTGGTGGGAGCCTCTCCTGCCTCCTCAGCAGCGCTAAGGATGTCCGGCTGCAGCTTAGGTCTGCTCCCCACTGGCAAGTGAACATCCCCCAAGGACTGCCGGGCTGCCAGAGGAATGTCTGATTGCCAGCTTAGGCCCAATCTCCTGGGGAGCAGGCCTCAGCCAGCAGATGGTCATCCCCTGAGGTGTCCCAGACTGCGAGAGGGCACAGGCCGGGCTGAGGGGACCCCCCACCCTGAGTGCACAAATTTTTGTGCACCAGGCCTCTAGTATACTATAATTCAAACAAACCTAATAAGGCTATACATAGTTCTCTCTGTAGAAATAACACATTTCTTATTTATTAAACTGTCATAATTCCCTTACCAGAGAATTACATAAGTTTCAGATGCCTATACATCAATTCTCTCGAGTTCATAAGCAAAAAAAATTGAAAGAGAGAAATATGGAGAGTAAAATGAAACCATCTAGACAAGAGATTTTCAACCTTTTCCATCTCATGGCACACATAAACTAATTACTAAAATTCTGCTGCACACCAAAAACTATTATTTTTGCCAATCTTATTTAAAAAATAGGTATAATTTTGATTCATTCACACCGTACAACTATTGTTGTTGGCTGTTGTCATTTTTTTTTATTTGACAATCTAAGGAAAAACAGGTCAGTGCTCTTGACTAAATAGTCAGGTATTACATGCCTTAAAAATTCTTGAGAGAGAGAGAGAGAGAAACATGGATTGAATGTCTCCTGTTGGGGTTTAAATCCCAAATCTGGGTATGTATGTGCCCTGACTGGGAGTCAAACCCACCACCTTTTGGTGTAAAGGACAGCGTTCCAACCAACTGAGCCACACCAGCCAGGGTGCATGTTTTAAAAATTCTTGCAGCACACAGTGTGCCATGGCACACCGGTTGAAAATCACTGATCTAGAAGAACAGAAAGAAACCTTTCTATCAAAGGCTAATTATAACAAAGATGAACAAAACAATAAATCAAGAGGTACATACTGGTAAAAGTAATTTTCTTTTGTTCCACACCCCGGATGCTTTCTTTTTCTTTTAGTTGACTTTGCTTTTTAGTTCAGAAGTAAATATAAAACTCTCCATTCCCACAATATAACACTAAAAGTTTTACTGACTGGCCAGGCCAGTAGGAAATGAGAGGAAGAAAAAGGCAAAGACATTCATTCATTCATTCAATTATTATGTGCCAGGCACTGGAAATTCAAAGATAAGCAGGATGGAGTTCCTATCTTTGAGGATCTCTTACAGATCAAAACTACACTTGCCAAAGTACTGTTAAGTGAATTTTTAAGTTTGAATAACATTGAGCCCTCACAATTATGCCTAGACAAAACATCAGATATAAATGGCCCCAAGCAGGGTCCAATCTTGCCCTATTAAGATGGAGCAGGTGACAGGGCAGCGTAACAGCACTGGGCAGAAAAAGAATATAGTCAATTAAAAGGGGGCAATTTGAAGAGTCAAGAAATAAAGGCTCCAGGAAAAGTTGTAGCTATAACTAGATAAATTACTTTTTTATTACTAACATTTTATATTTAGTATCTCTGACCCATGACTCTTTCAAATGCTACTGTAGACTATGCTTTATCTCAGAAAAGAAAAAAAAATACAAAGATTTGTGACTAGATTGAAACCTTAAGCTACATCTAAATAAATTATGGCACTATTTTCACCTTCCTTAACTATTCTCGGTCTTATTAACTCCCATTTATTGAGTACTCACTATATGCTATGTACTAGGGGCTAAGAACTTCACATTTATGTCTTAAAACTACTCTATGAGTAAAATCTTTGCTAGAAAGGATCCAAATAAAGCCCATCAAAGTAACAAACAGGAAAATATAACCTATAGATTAAAAGTTACAGGACATGAGTTTACAAAGCCTGGAGAAGAGACAACTAAATCATCTTTCAATGTTTTGGTTCAAAACCTTGTTTCATTTTTCAATCAGAAACTCTTGAGTTTATAAACACTTAGAAATAACCAGTAAGTTACCTGAGGAAAAACCCTTGAGAGTAGAAGCCCTGTGGGACTCTACCAAAGAGAGAACCAGCTGCTAAGGCTTACTGTCTTTTAAAGGAATTACACTTAAATGGGTGAAAGAGTCAAAGGCCAACGGAACTGGACACCACTTGGCTGGGCATGCCAGTACCTACGTTGTTCACCAGGCTAGGTAATCGGATCTCAAATGAGAAAGCAGAGGTTCCCCTAAATGAGGGCTATACTCAGCCTCATTGATCTCATTCACTCCCCTATATCCTAGACTATAGAAAAGCTTGAAAAGAAAACCCCATATTCAAACTGTAGCTTGGGAGGAGGACTGGTCATAAATAAGGTGGAAAGAGTATGAGGATTCATTCACACTATATCAGAAAGAATATCTGCACAGAGCTATCCATATCATGAAAAGAAATGCTGGGGTTACTACAGAAACATAAATAGCCACAAAAAAAGAAAAGCATATTAAGGACAAATGAACTTAGTCTGGAAGAAAGTAGAAAACAAAGGATAGAGACAGATTCACAAGTATCTATATACAGTTATAGAAAAAACTAGTAGGAATGAACTCAATAAAACAAGAAAAGCTTGGAAATGAGATACACAGAATGAGATGAAAAGTGATTGCAGATATAAATAAAATAGCTAAACCCTACTAACCAGACATAATTTGAAATAGCAATGAATTTCCAGAATTGCAAAATTTAAATGT